TTTCCTCACCATGACTCATTGGCCTGAAACTATCATACAGATACCTTCAGCACTGACTTAATAGCACTGTTTGGAAAAACTGCTTTTACTTACATCTTCAAAACTAAAATTCCACAATGAAAAACTAATTAACATTTTTATACCCCTGTGTGACCCAAAGGATGTGTTTGTGTCACGAGGCAAAGAAAGCAATGCTTCAAATGCAAGTTTTCCCCCTTTGGTCCAAACACCATCTGGAGCAACTTTTGCATCTGAATTCAGTCATATCCAGTTCCCAGTCTGGACTGTAGCTGAGTTACCAGCAGATCATATAGTGGCTTTTAAAATGGTAGCATAAGGATTGATTCAAGGCCTACTGTAGTTACACAGACCTAGAAAAACAAGGTCCAAAGTTGTGGGCAACAAAACCGCATTAATGTGAGGGCTTCTATCAGGCAAAATTGAACCACTTAGTAGTCAATTTCCCTAATTACTGTACACCAGCACAACAATTCAACTATTTCACCCTAATATCCATTGCTTACAAACAAAAAAAATCAAAAATTGCTTTTACATCTGGCTTAAATCACAACAGAAAGATAGTTCAAGCAGATGAAACTATGACTCCTTCTATCGCCTTCATTACCAAAGACAACTGCTCTGTGACTCCCTGCATGGTTCTAATTATCAAAGATAACTGCTCCTTTTCTGTCTGCATTTGGTTATTTGTAGTTTTGCGACATTTACTGCTGATCCAGTCATTGAAAGCTTTCCAACCCCTTTCAATGTCAATGTCCCAGCCTTTGTCACACAACGCATCCAATACCTTATTAGCAAGCTGTCTACTATCTGTTATGTTAGGTACTTGGCTTGCTATGGCAACAGCATCATTGGGGTGCAATAAGTAGAGGTTCCTTTTCTTTTGCATGAGATCTATGAAGTCAAGCCCCATTTCCCTAGGAGGTTTAAATTCCTTGGACAGCTTGTCCAAGGTGGCTGCATCTAAAGGAACATGACCAACTTCTACTCTGGTTCCCCTAATGTCACCTCTCTTATTATGGACCTCAGAATATCTAATAGTGATTGGTCTCATCTGAACTGCCTTATCACTAGTAGGTTCAGAATCCTCATCAGAGGAGGAGGTTTCTGATTCATCAGAGTGGATCGCATCCAATTCTGGATATAGCCTAGCCAACAGTGGAGGATCTTCATCCTCTGTGTAGCATGGCTGACCCAGAGGAGGGCCTACAGGTAGAGATTGGCATTGACACTTTGACTTGGATTTACAATTGGCCTGTTGCTGTTCAACCTTGGTCAGTGATTGCTTAGGCTTTTTACATGTTCTCTGGACATTCATGGCAGCTATTTTATGCTTTTTACATTCGCTGGTTAGCTCTAGGATCTTTCCCTCAGCTTCCTCTAGCTTACCCTCCATGTATCTAAGCTTATACTTCCAGTACTGCTTTATTACAAAAAGACATTCCTTAACGGAATCATGCTTGATACCATAACCCAAAGCTGTTTTACATTCCTCAAGAGTCCATTCTCTATCAGCAGAAAAACCTTTGGATAAAAAGTACTGAGCTGTCTTTTGCTCATGAATGTGTTTCCCTATTATGTCATCCATTACCTTTTCAAATGCAAATTTAGTTCCTCCCTTAACTAGTGTACTCTTTCTGAAGTTAAGAGGTTTCTGTAGTTTTCGGCCTATACTAGTCATGGTGAGGTAACAAGATAAAAAGCTGAGGCAAAAACACAACCAATCTTCCTCACTAGCTGAGTGGATAAGTTACAAGTTACAGTGACAAAAAACAGACACAAAAAGAAAAAACGCTAGGCTTTTACCAGTGACAAAAAGTAAACTTCCCTCAGAGCAGAGGGGTTAACAGCCACAAAAAACACTAGGTTTCTTTATCAGTGACAAGAAGTAAACTTCCCTCAGAGCAGAGGGGATAACAGCCACAAACACTAGGGTTATTTTTACCAGTGACAACAAGTAAACTTCCCTCAGGACAAAGGGGATGACAGCCACAAAAAACACTAGAGTTCTTTTATCAGTGACAACAAGTAAACCTCTCTTGTTTCAGAGAGGCTAACCTTTACTGACTCATCTATCTTATAAAGCCAGAATTTCTCTTCAGTTCGAAAATGGCGTTTTACTCACCAAGTAGGTTTCAGTAAGTCATCCGCGGCACGGCACCAAGTTGTTAGAAATTCGGCACCAAGAGAGACTGGAGTTTATTTCCACATACAGAGTATGGGTACAGTGTGGTCGATCAGCAGTCAATCAGCAGGATCAGAAGTCTAGTCTTATTCACGTGCATGCAGACAATCATGCACGGGCACAGCTTGGTCATCAGTGTGTCACCAGTCTAGTCTAGTCCATTCTGCAGTCCAGTCTGGAGTCCAGTCTGATGAATACATGGTCTGACATAGTTAAAGTAGAGATACTGGGGGTCAGGGGGGGGAAACAAAGAGGGAGGGGAAGTAGGTGACAATCAAAAGGTTGGGGAAGAAGGGGGTCTGGGGTCAGGGGAGACCCCAGGGGTAAGGTGAGGTTGTTCTCACCTCAGGGGGAACAATACAGATAAAACACCAAAAGGCACACAACTGTAAGACAATACAGCTGACACAACAAAAAGACAACATAGGTTAGAGCATAGAAGAAAGCAAATGTGAAAAGACCTATACTTTCTCTCGTCCGGGAGACGTTCAACAGGGCCGGCGTTTAAGGATAACAAAGCCTTTAAAAGTCAAATATATTAATTTTGAAACTTCAGAGTTACCTTTGTGATGCATGGCGTAAGACTGTTGCACGTACGGATGAGATCAAATCAGCATTGTAAACTTCAAAGACTTTGCATGGACTTCAAAAGCTGAGTTGAAAAGTTTTGAAATGCGCAGTGGTGTTGTTGTGGGGTACTGTTCTGGACTGCTGCTGTTTGCTGTCTGTTGTTAAGCCAAAAAGAAGATTTTGCAACATACAAATCTGGCTGTCAGTTCTGTTTTGTCAGTTTGTTCGGCATGCGCATCAACCTCACCAAGATAGTAACTCTTATACTCACAGTCTCTAAGTCAGGGGTGTCAAACTCAACCACTAAAGGAGTCATATAAAATCCGTGGGCCAGCTTAACATTTTGTCATGACCCCAAATTGGCCATTGTTTATTCAAATCATGCCAAAACTAGGCAAACAGCAAAATAGGCATTAAATACTTAAGCTATTCAAAAATAATTTTAAATAAAAAAACAAGTTGTTTTATATAAACTACATTAGCTACAGATAACTTTAACATTTTTCAGGAGGAAGGTATTTTATTTAGGTCTATTTGCTTAAACTAGACATCAGACATCTTTTCTTTTTGCGTAACCGCTGGACCATGGATCGTTGTTGGGGGAAGGGGGTCCCAGCACACATTATGTTGTAGTGCATGCTGGGAATTGTAGTGCAGCTCATGGTGAAACAAGCTAATATTAATAAAAAATGTTAATAATTTTGCGGGCTGTATAGGGTTGTGCCACGGGCCTGACTTGGCCCACAGGCCTTGTGTTTGACACATGGGCTTAAAACTATATAGTACACTCTTGAAAAAGATGGTTCTTCAAGTGTTCTTTAGTAAAGAAAATAGTTCTAGATAGAAACACGTACACTCAAAGAACCCTTTGCATGTTTAAAGGGCTCTTTGCATCGTAAAGTGGTTCTCCAGATTGATGGAGAACGTGCTATACATGGAACTTTATGAAAGGGGTTCTATATCAAGCAATTTACAACAGAAGAACTGTTTTAATTTTTCCAACTTTTGTCATTGACTGCAGCAGTGAAATAAAACAGATGATGTTGTTTTTTTTTGAGACCAAGAATGCCAAACGTCTCGTTGAATTCCAGATAAAGCCAATATTATACAAGAAAAATAAAAGAGTACAGAGTGCCCTCTTGCCTTTTTCCACCTTAAATATACAATCTACAAAGCCTTATTGGAACTGGATTAGTTTAATCTGGGGAAGTGCTGTAATTTAGGTGATTATTGATGGGATGAGACATGATGTTAATCCAGTGTGAATCTGCCATGTCTGTAGTTTTCTAAGTCTGCTCAGTAATAATTCAGGAGTTCCTCAGAACTCAGAGGTCAGAGCTCCCTCAGTAAAAGCAGTCCTGTTCAAATCCACATTGCAGTAAAGTAATGACAAAACCAGGTAATAGAAAACAGCACCTCCATTTTTTTGGCAACCTGAAGGCAAGACCAACAGCTAAACAGAGCTTAATTTGACCCAATTCCTTAATCCTCAAATTCATAACAAAACTACCGAAATCCACAAAAGTTTTGGTGGACGTTGAATTAAAAAGAGAAGAAAAAGAGGAAATATCTCCATTTGCCATTTAGATGCTTGGCTAGTTGCTATTGTTCAGAAGTGTGGCACTTGTTGCATAATACTGACATAAACGTCCACACGATGATGTTTGGATCCAGGCTATTTTTGGGGTAATTTGGGGAAATTACACAGATCTTTTATCCTGTACTAATCGGCCAGTCAAATTGCACACAGATTACATTACAGGACCTCCTCTGCCAAAACTAATCCAGCTCCAACAGGGCTTAAAGCCGTCTTCTGATAATCACCTACTTTCCTTGACACCGCAGTCACTATGCCAATGTTTGCATGGTTTCATGCCGCCATCAGCAGCGTAACGCTGTCAAGTGTGGAATGACAGTTTTCTCAATGCAAACATGTAAACGCAGCATACGTTTGCATGGAATTATGGAGCTATAACAAAATAAAGAGTAGAGTTATGAAAATGTTTTAGTATGTTTTAATGTTGTGACAGTCCTGCTGAAATTAATGAGGCCTTTATAGGCTGATAAGTCTAATATAGCTGAAAGTAAAAAGTAAATCTGACAGAATTATTAATGTGAACTGGCCAGAGTTTATGTGGAAACCATATTAGTCTGTGATTGCTTGTATCCTGGCCTTATACGGCCATATGACTCCAAAACTTTTTATTGCTGTTGTTTGTGTCTCCAGGCACTTCCTGTTGAAGACCGGCACTGGCTCCGCCTCTCTCTTCACCACGCCCAATCCAGGCTATACCATGGCTACGGGTGTTTATTCCCCACCGGCTCGCCCACTGCCCCGAAATAACCTGACGAGGGGGGCGTTTAAATTCAAGAAATCACCCAAACATTGCTCCTGGAAGTGCACTGCGCTCAGTGCGGTGGGCGTGGCCACTCTGCTGTCAATCATGCTCTGCTACTGTATAGGTGAGTATCATACACAGATGAAGTGACTGTAATTGTTTTTGTGTGCACACTAGTGTTCAAAAGTTTAGATCCATCGTTTTCAACAACATAAAACCAATTGTTAAATAACATAAAATAACATTTAATAACTTTTTTTATATAAATGCACAACTTTATAGATTTCAAGTAAATGGTAGGATGCTGTAAAAATGAAAATGTGTCAGATGAACAGAACTGTAGAGGATTTTGAAAAATAGTGGTCAAATTTTTTTTCATCTTATCAATGAATTGCTGCTATAAAGATAACTACAGCATATTATTTACCATTTAACAGCTTCTTGGTTTTCTAAAAACTTGAAATATTGAATAAAACATCTTGAAATAAATTCTGGTGTATAGCTTATGATATTTTAATCTACACTGTACAATTTATCAGTGACTTAAATAACAACTTTTAATATGACAAATGATTCCAAACTTTTGAGCAGTAGCTTGTAACTTTTCTTTCTTTATGTCTAACTTTTCAAGAGAAGGAAAAAACATTTCTAGCTCAGTGGAAATCATTGTAAAAAGATGTTTTCCAAGTCATTTTGAAGCATTTCTATTGCTCCATTCATCTTTAAAGTTTTAACACAATGCAAAGGGCAGCTGGTGTTTATAAATTCTGTAAAAAAAAAAAATTGAGATACAAGGTTTGGTCCTGACAGCAACGATATATACGTTTGAGCTATTTATGTTCAGTTTGGTTGGGTTTGGACTGGTTTATTCAGAGTTTGGTCAAATTAGAACATTCTGCTGGATTCAGGTTCAAATTCCAATGCACCTTTAGAGGATATTCTGTGTTGTTGGCCTCAAGGTCCATAGGGCCAGTTTCAAAACAAAAGTTGCCATGTCAGTATATCCCAGTACAAAGTGATCTACCATTGTGAGACATAAAATCCAGGGATAGATTGAACTAAGCTTAAAGTTTTTTTTAGCTTAAAGCAAAAAATTCATAAATTTTTTTTAGATATCAAGCACCTCATGGGCCTGTCTTATAACTCACTCACTCACGTTTAGCAGGCTGAACATTCCCTACCAGGCAGCCATTAGCATTCAGTAGCTCTTGCTTCTTTATAGGAGCACTGAGCATCCTTGTTGTTTATCAGTGATCTAATGACATCTGTTCCTGTTGCATGGTAGCTTAATACTGTCGTTAATGTAACTTAGCTGGTGCTGTCGCTCGGAGTGTGGAGTTTCATTCAGGGTTGAGTTTGGACCAAATTTTCAGGCCCGATTAAAGCTCGAGAGAGTGTGTTTAGTGTGTGTGGGTGTGGGTGTGTGTATGTGTTTGTGCAGGCACTCAGGTGCAGGACAGGCTGAGTGAGCGTGTTCCCATTAGAGATGGGAAATAGCCCATCAGAAGGAGTTTTTTCTTCCTCTGCCTTTCATCTGTGCCCAAAACACCTGGTGCCCCTGCTCCAAATGGCCTTTCATACACACACACACACACACACACACACACACACACATTCTCAGCCCGCATGAATACTCTTGGGAGAAATGACAGTTGGCTGATTAATCTCTCTAACCCAACAAAAGCCTTTAGACCTGACCCGTACTTTTTTAACTCCCATGTTTTTTTTTTTTCCGTACTTAGACAATGTTCAGAGGTCCCATATGTATTAATAATATGCCCCATATGTATTCCAAATAGTGTGTGTGTGTGTCTGTATGCATATATATATATATATATATATATATATATATATATATATATATATATATATATATATATATATATATATATATATATGTAACAAGTATCTCCAAAATAGTAACTTCACAGGAGGAGACAAAAAAATTCTTTTTTGGGCAGCGGGTGTGCTCAAATGATGTTGAAAAAGGAAAATCAAAAAAAAAAAAAAATGTGATACTTGTTTTTTTTGGACAGCGACAATGAAATGTGCCATAACTTTTGCACCGACCACATTTTATGTTTTTTTTTCTTTCTAATATGTTAACAAAATCAACAAAACACACTCACACAGTTCTTTGACCTCCTTAGTAGTTCAGGCTGAAACCCAGCTGCAGCACTGTATGTTGCTGTGTTGGAATCTGTGATTGTAGCAAGTCACCTTCAGCACCTTCAGCATCTTTAGCAGACTACACTGGACAGACACTCAAGGGAGAACTATGGAGAAATCAGTGAGCAGCAAACTAATAAAAGCAGCAGCGTGGAGAAGCTCCAGTTCCCCTCGAGATCCTCCACTGTAACAAGTATCCTCAAGCTGTATAAACGAGAGTGAGGAGAAGCTACAATCAGTGTATATATATATAGCTATACATCAAACTTTAGTCCATGTTTATATATAACAGTGGGTCATACAGTTTCATAAACCCCATAATCAAGTCTGTTAGATATACTGAACAACTCCACATGCTTTGAGGTGAGAGTGATGATTTAGACATGGGGTTAGCACCATGCTAATTGGTGCACATAAGCTTCCATTACTTGTTCCTTAGTGCTAAATTTAAGGAAGCAACAAAACAACAGATCAACCACAGGCTATTTGGGAAGTGGAAAAATTCTGGCCAAATGTTCAATTTAAATTGTTGTACTACAAATGTGAGTCACACATATATTACATTACTTGTGTGTGTACCAAAACAGTCATAATTAATTTCTACATGCAACCTCTCTTTGACACTTAAACAGACTGTCTTTGTTGCTGTGCCCTTAAGACTCATGTATGTAAATGAGCTCTGTTCTGATTGGCTGCCTCATATCGTGTCTCAGTAGGGTCTGAAACACTCCTTATAGCTTCAACATGAATGGGAGGGGCAAAACCGCTGTAGGCCAGATAGGCGCCACAAAAACAGTGAATTCAAAACAGGCTGCATTTTGTGATTTACGGCGTGATGGGTAGGTCTTAAAACATTAACAATGTTTACGTACTACGTCAAAAATCTCTCATATCTCAAAAAAGCAAGGAAATTAAATTTTCCATGATACGGGCCCTTTAAAAATTAGTTTTGCTGTTGCTAGGCTGGAGCAGAAAAAAAGGTTAATAAGGCCTCTTTGGAATCATAATGTCCCCTGTAATATCCAACGGGGTCAGCTTGTCCCAGCATATTCCGTTCTTCAGAGTAGATTGCAGCACAGACACTCCTCCGATTCGCCTTTCGTTTGCGCTCCCTGGTTCCTCTGCATTGTTCCCCCCACTGCGAGTTATTTGCCGCAGTCAGAGCCCCCTCCTCAGCGCTCCGTTTGAAATGCGCTTCCCCCTCCAAAGATCAAATCGAGAGGAAGAGGAGCCATGTGAAGCTCTGCCGCCTTGCCACGCTCCCTCGCCGAGAACTTTGAAGGAGACTTTTCCCAAGCCACCTTCACACAGACTCTCACCACCCGCTTTTAGAAACAACTAGAAAGTGTTTGCCTAAGATTTAACACAGCTGCATGAAAGGGGGACATGTGGAAAGACAGCGAGAGAGAGGGAGAAAGAGGGAGAAAGATAGAGCAAGATAAAGAATGAGTGAGATTTCCATGTCACATAACGAGAGAGCGCAGACAGAACAGGCTAGAAGCGATTCCTTTATGTTTCGGCAGGGTTGCATCTCTGCGGCTGCTCACCGGTGTAGCCCGAATCTTCACGTTTCTCTCAGCGGCTGTAAACATGCTCAAAGACACCCTAAATATGCTGCTAAAATAGACGCAAAACATCTTTTTTTCTGCCTTGGCTCCTTGCAGTGATATTTAAAAGGAAACATCTTCAAAGAGCAGCCTAAGCTAGCAGGCCCTAATCATAGCGCTAGTTAGCTTCTCTTGCTTAGAACAGATTCCAGTTACTAAATAAAGGACTTGCACATGGAACTCATAATGTTTCAAACACATTAGCGCTTTCCCACTCTCTGATTAAGCCCTTGCTGAAGCTAAAAAGGATTTTCAACGGTGAATTCACCACTGCTATTGCAATTTAGTGCAAGGCTAAGCTTATGATGCGTCCGTAAGCCAAAATTTCCGACCTCCGACTGGGAAAACCACTGAACTCAGCTGGGAATTCCGACTGGGAAAGCATCCTCAACTCTGAGTTCAGCATTACAGGTCATTAGTAATAAGAGTAAAATACACTGAGGCCAAAATGTTGATATTTTATCATTTAATTATTAGCAAATAAATAAATAAATAGCATTTTTTCCTGTTTTATTTCAGTGAAAGAGTTTAATGCAGTATGTAAACATTGAAACATCATTAAAATTTCAAAACATACCTGCAACTTAGCTGCAAAAACAGTCTGCATAGAATTGTAACATCACAAAAACCAACACACTGACGAATATGCACCAGCAGTTTAGCCCCGCCCACTCAAGCTGATGTTATAAGTAATGTTTCAGCCTGGACTGCTTTTCGAATACAGGGCAGACTGTGTTTGGTTCCAGCTGTGTAGGATTTTTAATCTGCTAACAAAAAAATGACATCACATTATTAAATTATCATCAATGAGCTGGAACTGAGCCTGTGCTGTGTTTATATTGCCTTTTTGCAATAAACAACACATAAAAGAATCAGACAGACATAAACGTGTGTGCTATGAAAGTAGAAGTACATTAATTTTTGTAAATTAGTATCTTATAAAACAATAAGATGGTGTATGGAAATAATCATTCTGTTATACATTATTGAATATGAAATATTTACCTCACTGCATGCTTTTCTGTGAACGCTGACTGTTTCTCTCTGTTCTTATCTTCAGCCATGCATGTGTTTGGACTAAACTGGAAGCTGAAGGATGTAGATGACCACGCCTTTGAAAATGGCCGAGCCACACCTGTAACCTCCACCACCAGCACTGTGACCTCACTTTCTACTGACGGTAAGGATTAAAGCGAGCCTTCGAGAAACATGGCAGCATTCTTCAACCTAATCTTTATCTGCAGTAGAGTTGGGTGTTGAAAAGTAATAAGGTATACCATGGTATTTAAAATGATGATGGTATTAAAACCTATGGGGTCCACAAACTTCAAAAAAAATGTTTCTATATCTGTTTCTCTCTCTTCGTGATAATACAGCACAGAAATACAATTCAAACAGTTCCTGAATCTGTAGAGTCACCCATTCCATCCTATCATAAGATTGTATGTGACTCACATCTGGAGTTATGAGTCTATGAAGAGGGGCTGAGATACACGCTGTCTCTCACCGTGTGTAGTTGCTGGATTTGTGTGTCCGTCGACATTTTGTGTGAAACTGACCAATGGACACTCAGGAAATCACTAAGGTCTGACCCATCACGCTGGAAACCCTTCATTCTTCATTCAGTCCACATCAGAGACACATGTGAAATGGGGTGCAGAGAGTTTACAGCTGCTAAATTTGCTGCAGTGGATTTTAAAGTGTTGCTATGCCATTGCTATGTTATTCCAGGTGGTTGCTAAGGTGTTGCTAGGCCGTTGCTATGGTAATCCAAGTGTTTCCTAAGATATTGCTAGGCCATTGCTGTGCTATCCCAGGTAGTTGCTAAGGTGTTGATAGGCCATTGCTATCATATACCAGGTGGATACTAAGGTGTTGCTTGGCTAATGCTGTACTATGCCAGCGGTTCTAAAGGTGTTGCTCAGCCAGGGCAATGCAGTTCCAGGTGGTTGGAAAAGCGTTGCAAAGCCGTTACTGTGGTATCCAAGGTGGTTGCTAAGGTGTTGCTCCATAGCAGCTGCTAATGTGTGTACTAGTAAGGAAGTGTATTTGTGCATAACGTCTACAAAGATCAGTCAAAAAGAGAAAATCCACGTCACTGCACTGGTACTTATTAACCACAAATTATTCTCTCTAGAGAACTAGTGCCAAGAACCAATTATACAGATTTGCTGCTTTTTTTACAAAAATAATTGTTTCACTCAAACCTTCACTGATGGACTTTAGCAACTGCCCATTGGCAATGCCACACAAATGTTGTCAGTGTTAATTGAACGTATTCTACAGATACGGCAGACAGATATAAGGTTAATGTGACCTTGTGTGAATGAGCTGGAGCTTATTCACAGTTTGTCCACACTGTGCAAATCAGATAAGATAAGACATTCAAAGTCTAAGGTAAACATAGAGGTAATGTCAATGTAGGACAATGAAACGTGAAAATACTCTGAGAAGGGTAATGACCCCCGAAAAACATAGACATCAGCGAGCTGAGAGACCATCAGCGAGCCTCACTTTTCAGATTTATTTACTCTAGAGCTCTGAGTTAGAACAATATAGTGTCACTAGCAGCCCTTTACTAGGATGATCCACTGTAGATGTTTTGCAGATGCTTAAGTCACTAAATTGCATTTATATACAAGTTAGAGAAACATATTTTTCACTCCTCAGACCATACAGTGCACATGTGGAAACTAAGCTGCAAAAAACAGCCTGTTTTGATGCCTATTAGTTGTTGTGTGACAACCAAGAACACATTTTCATAAATAGACCCCTTCAGCTGACAGCAATTTAGCCCCACCCATTCAGCCCACAGCTGTTTGGCCCCACCTATTCAGCCCACAGCACTTTAGCTCCACCCATTCAGCCCACAGCTGTTTAGCCTCACCTATTCAGCCCACAGCTGTTTAGCTCCACCCATTCAGCCCACAGCAGTTTAGCCCCACCCATTCAGCCAACAGCAGTTTAGTCCTACCTAATCAGCCTACAGCAGTTAGCCCCGCCCATTCAGCCTACACCCCTTTATCCTCACCCAATCAGCCTACAGCACTTTAGCCCCACCCATTCAGCCTACGGCACTTTAGCCCCACCCATTTAACCAATTCAGCTTATAGCACTTTAGCCCCACCCATTCAGCCTGCACCACTTTATCCCCACCAAATCAGCCTACAGCACTTTAGCCCCACTCATTCAACCTATAGAAGTTAAGCCCTACCCATTCAGCCAACAGCAGTTTAGCCCCACCCATTCAGCCTACAGCAGTTAGCCCCACCCATTCAGCATACACCACTTTAGCCCCACCCAATCAGCCTACAGCACTTTAGCCCCACTCATTCAGCCTATAGAAGTTAAGCCTCACCCATTTAGCCTATAGCAGTTTAGCCCCACCCATTCAGTCTACAGCAGTTTAGTCCCACCCATTTAGCCTACAGCACTTTAGCCCCACCCCATCAGCGTACAGCACTTTAGCCCCACTCATTCAGCATATAAAAGTTAAGCCCCACCCATTTAGCCTACAGCAGCTTAGCCCCACCCATTCAGCCTACAGCAGTTTAGTCCTGCCAAATTCAGCCTACAGGGCCCTGAGGATTTCAGTCCCAAAAAGCTTAACAGTTTCAGAAAAGAGCCTTTTTAAATGTATGCAAAATAGGGAATATGGGCTCACTAGTAAGTGGTGAGCAGTGTTTTCATGTGAAGACTCAGCTCATCTTTTTTAGACCCCTTTTAGAGAAAGGAACTGTAGGAAATCCTCAGCATCTCCACAATTATCATGAGAATACACAAATATTTCCCCTCGACACTGTGTCTTAGCACATCATTACCATTTTACATTCTCGTCTGATCTTTAGTGAAAGGAATTGAACCAATTTCAGCCATCATTAGGTTACTGTAGACAGCCAGCTGTGATATTAGCAGTAAACAGGAGAGAGTCGGTCTGCTCTCACAGTTTAAACGCTCATAAACTGGCCTAATTAACGTGTCTGGAACAAGATCTGACTGATTCAAACTGATCAATATCCAGACACATTCTCCCTCAGAAAGAACTTGCTCCTTTATCAGTTTCAGCTCAGAAGCATAATCTAACACACTCTTTAAAGGCAGCCATTATACTAGAGATCTGCACACCTGCAAAATATCTAGCGGCGTGGGACTATTTTTCCTGCAGGAGTAGGCAGGAAAACAAGTCCACTGTAGGCAGGAGCAGGCCGAGGCATGCATGAAGAGAAATGCTGCAAATTAATGAATAGCCTAATAACGTAGAACGATCACTAAATCATATATATAAACAATATAAAATGATAACAGTACAACAGTTAAAATGAAGTCATTTTAAAGAGTTGCAAAGCAGCCGATCATGTGAACAACACACAAATTCTTGAAGCTTACAGAGAAGACAGGGCCTTCGGTCGGACGGTCACAGCTGCCCAGCAAAACACCAAAAGTAACCGCTCTGTGGTTTAATTCCTGCTTTGTGTTCACTAGGAATAAATGGGGTTTGGTGAAGTTATTTCACAGTGAGCCTGAAGATCATGACTATTGTGTTTTTTCAGCAGAGAGTAATGTATTTGTGAATAGACTGTGTTGGATATTGAATGTGAGTTTGCCTTGACGGAACTGTGCGGACCTCTACATAATACAGAATGTTTGTTTTTTTTTTTAACTTCTGCTGGAATCCCTATAGGATTCTAGTAGTTTGTTAGCGCTAAGCTATTGGCAATTCACATGAACACTTTCTGAGTAAAGTTACCTTCTTATTCAAATTTTCTGTTCCACCTTAAATGCTGCAGCAGTTACATTCAGGCTCTACAGTGTAACTGCTGCACTGTTTAAGGTGGAACAGAGTATTTGAAAAATGCAGCTCGAGATCAAACACAGACATTTGAAACTTCTAAAAGACATTACACGTTTGACTTGAAGCTGTGTGAGTGCGGTGTGTTAGCCAAATAGAGCCTTAAAATTCATTTCAACAGCAGCGGAGAGCTGTTCATTAACGATTTCTCTTCAAACTCGCTCCATATTTCTGAGAAGTGTTTTCATAAAACATGATGTATTCACAGAATTTGTTATGACTTTGCAGTCATTCACTGGAATTTAATTCAGCAGCTGGACAGACAGCTGGCTACTGTTCCAATTTTGGATTTGACCCACTGGTCAGCTCCACCCAGGCTCCACCCACTCATAATAATCCACACCTGTGGCTTGTTTTATTAGCACTCGCATTGTAACCTTTGGTTTACCTTTGTACTATGTGAAGTCTTCACAGAGCATTTATGTCATATTTTCTCAACTTATAATATAAGCTGTGAGTGCTAGGAACGTTAATTAACACATCATTTTTGTGGGGGAGAGTGTCTGACACCAAGAAAAAGTGTGTTGATTGCCTTTCATATCTATTCAAGCATGAAAGCACTCAGAGAGGTAAGTGCAGATATGGGTTATTATAAGTGCATTAAAAACTCTTTTGAAGCCTTTTTTTTCAAGCTTTGTCTTCAGATAAAGCCATAGTTAGCTAACAAGTAACAGAAGCCTATACAGTTTAGCATGGTGCTAACTGCATGCCTGAATCATCACGAGCCATGTGGAGGTGTTCAGTATCTCTAATAGACTTGATTATGTGGTTTCTGACACTGTGTGACTCACTGTTATCTATAAACATGGAGTAAAGTACATTAGCCTAGCTGAATGCAGTAGTATTTATTTTGAAGTCTGAATTTTGTCTGTACTGCTGTCTATTTTGTTGGTATAGGTGAGAAGTTTTATTTAACTTTTTGCCCAATTACAGACATGGACAAATTTCTTGGTACCCTTCCAGGAAAAAATAAGAACACCCAAATGTTTCCATAATAACCTGACAAAAGTAATTGGCGTCCATCATTGTTTTTTCCATATTGAATAGAAATCAGACTTTGCTTTTGATTTTCAATGCAATAGAATGTCTTAAATAGTAAGACAGTTGAAAATGGCATGCAAAAAAGTGATGGTTGCATAAACCTTTAGAGGCAGTCGCTGCAAACAGGCGATTTCTGTAGCTCCCACTAAGACTTCTGCATATGTTAACAAGTAGTTTGGTCCACTCTTATGCTCCAGCTGTCTCAGGTTTGAGAAGTGCCTTCTCCAGGCTCCATGTTTCAACTCTTTCCATAGATGTCTGATAAGATTCAGATCAGGGGCCGTATTACAGAAACTTCCTATCTTTTTGTCTTAACTTAAGATCTGACAGGTCAAGATATGATTTTTCACAAATTCGTATTACAGCAGCAAATCTTATCTTAATTTAGGAATCTTATCTTACAGCATCTTATCTCAAGTTAAGAAATCTTAACTTACTCGATCGAAGTTGACAATCAACTGTCATGTCTGTTACCTAGCAACCAACCGTACATGCACAGCTGAAACGTAAACACGTAATCAAAGTAATCGAGCTAGTTAGCCAGGCGGCTAACAGTAGCTACCGTTACTGATGTGCAAAAAAGGTCAAACAAACTAAATCACGATAAACAGAAAAGTTAAGAATATTGTTTCAGCGTTTCCTGCTGTTTATCAGAGCGTCACCACTCCCAGTTTCAGTTTCAGTTTTCCAAACGCTTCAGCCGAGTGCGCTAAAGTTATTCCCCCTAATTAACAGGCACACGTTCAACTCTGTCTCCTCATTATTCACCACCATCACTGTAATATTTCATCATCAACATTAACACACGAAGGTAATAAGAGGGGACAGTGGGGATTGTGTGTCTGCAGTGTCTGAGATTTTTAAAATGCAGAGTTAGAAAAGTAAAACATCTCACAGTGAAAGCAGCATTTTACAGTATAAATAAATGTAGCGTCATTATAGTAGTTATTGTGAAATATTCTGCCTGACACAGCACAAAACAATACAAACAGATGGTTAAACAGAAGTTAAGACTCCTCTTGGGTCATCTTAAAGTTAGGACAGTATTTAGGAGATTTAGTGTAGTTAGGATGTTTGTGTAATACTGTCTTCTTATCTGGAGTTAATGGATAAGATTATGAACTTAAGAATTGTTGTTCTGTTATAGTTTCTGCTGTACATTCAGTCCTAACTGAAGTTGTCATGGTGACTAAGCAGATAAGATAAGATTTTAGACTTAAGAAGTTTCTGTAATATGGCCCCAAGGCTCGTAGAAGGCCACTTCAGAATAGTCCTGTGTTTTGTTCTTATCCATTCTTAGGTGCTTTTAGCTGGGTGTTTTGGGCCATTATGCAGTTGGAGAACCCATGACTGGCGAGTGAGACTGAGCTTTCAGACACTCAGCTGTACATTTCACTCCAGAATGCCTTAATAGTCTGGAGATTTCATTGTGCCCTGCATAGATTTAAGGCACCCCGTGCCAGACACAAAACATAACCAAGCCTTCTCCATGTTTCACAGTAGGTGTGATGTTCTTTTCTTTGAAATAGTGCTGTAGCCAAGGCTGCTAGATCTGAGTCCGAGCCAAGATCAAGATTGGACTTTTAGTGGTCGAGTCTGAGTCCGAGACTGAGTTAAGACTGTATATTAAGACTATATATACACACACACACACACACACACACACACTATATGGACAAAAGTATTGGGACACCCACACATTACACCTACAGGGGTTTTTATGACATCCCATTCTAAATCCATAGGCAGCTATAACAGTTTGCAGCTATAACAGTTTCCACTCATCTGGGAAGCTTTCTACAAGATTTTGGAGTGTTTCTGTGGGGATTTTTGCCCATTCATCCAGAAGAGGGCCTGGCTCACCATCTCCGTTCATGTTCATCCCAAAGGTGTTCGATGGGGTTGAGGTCCTCCTCTACCAAACTTTACAGCTGGCCGGTGCAGTCAGGCAGGTAATGTTCTTCTGGCATTTGCCAAACCCAGTCTCGTCCATCGGACAGCCAGATGGAGAAGCGTGATTGGTCACTCCAAAAAATGCATTTAAACTGCTTCAGAGTCCAGTGGCGCCGTGCTTTACACAACCCCACCCCCCCAACCCCCATGGTTTGGCATTGTGCATTTTGATCTTAGGTTTGTGAGTAGCTGCTCTGCCATGGAAACCCCTTTAATGAAGGAATGAAGCTCCTAATGCAGTTATTTTGCTTATGTTGCTTCCAGAAGCAATTTGAAATTTCTGTTGAGTGATTCAGCAGAGGATGGGCACTTAGGAGGTGTGTCCCAGTATTCGGTCGATTGATCTATTATGTGTTTCAATTCAGTTGATTCTAATAGTCCAATATATTCCTAGACTGCATTAACAAATACGTGTTTGTGTATGTTAATAATACTGTTTGTTTACAGGCAGGGTGGGCATGAGTGACCCTGTGCTGGACTCAGGTCAAGTGGACATTGGCCAGCAGGTTGGTCAGGCCGTTCCTCCGGCGGTCTTCTGGAGGTCCAGCATGATGATGGAGAGACCACGCTTCCTCAAGTTCAACATCTCCATCCAGAAGAACGCCCTGATTGGAGTTTACGGCAGGAAGGGCCTCCCGCCTTCACACACACAGGTACAGGCTTGGCATCGTAACAATAGAAAAACCATTTTGGTGCTATATAGAATCCTTTTCAATCAAGTGTTCTTTGAATGTTTGTGGTTCCCTTGGAGAACCATCATTTTTAAGAGTGTAGAAGTCAATAGACACTTCCTGAATTCTGTGAATAAACATTTAAATACATGACCATAAAACCCAAATGTGAACTTGTAGCTTATAGAAACTGTTATTATAAAGTTTTATCCAACTTCCAGAGGTGGATCATCACAGAAAAGTTTTTTTGTTTGTTCCTTTTATCAGCTCCATTTATTATATAGGTGCACTTTGTAGTTCTACAATTACAGACTGTAGTCCATCTGTTTCTCTGCATACTTTGTTAGCCCCCTTTTACCCTGTTCTCCAGTGGACAGGACCCCCATGGACCCTCACAGAGCAGGTACTATTTGGGTGGTGGATCATTCTCAGAACTGCAGTAACACTGTTGTGGTGGTGGTGTGTTAGTGTGTGTTGTGCTGGTCTGAGTGGATCAGACACAGCAGTGCTGCTGGAGTTTTTAAACACTGTGTCCACTCACCGTCCACTCTATTAGACACTCCTACCTTGTCAGTCCACCTTGTAGATATAAAGTCAGAGACGATAGCTCATCTGCTGCTGCACAGTTTGTGTTGGTCATCCTCTAGTCCTTCATCAGTGGTCACAGGACGCTGCCCACAGGACGCCGTTTGCTGGATATTTTTGGTTGGTGGACTATTCTCAGTCCAGCAGTGACACTGAGGTGTTTAAAACTCCAGCAGCACTGCTGTGTCTGATCCACTCAGACCAGTGCAACACACACTAACACACCCCCACCACATCAGTGTTAATGCAGTGCTGAGAATGAACCACCACCCAAATAGTACCTGCTCTGTGAAGGTCCATGGGGGTCCTGACCACTGAAAATTGTAGAACTACAAAGTGCACCTATATAGTAAGTGGAGCTGATAAAATGGACAATGAGCGTAGAAACAAGGAGGTGGTCATAATGTTATGCCTGATCAGTGTATGTCACGGTTATTGCATATGGTAAATTTCCAAACAAAACAGATGCAGCAGATAGAGATCAGGTTAAAAAATGCTGAAGTGTTCCTTTAAGAAAGCATGGATGACTGTAAAACTGCATTTAAACAAACAGCTGTAAACTACAGTCAGTTTTCACGCTCTGTGTTGGTGTGCAGAGACGTTTATTTATTAGCAGGTGAGTCACATAAACCGTTAATATGGAAACAATACAGTGATCAATCAGCGCGGACAAAGAAAAACGAGGATAGCATGAATACGGATAAATAAATGAGCCCCTTAAAAGCTGCTTTTAAAGCGTGTGGCTTTTTAATTATGCAATTTGTATTAGCGAGAAAAAAACAAACAAAGCTGTTGTCTGGCAAATATCGACTGAAGCTATTTAATATGAGCAGGAGATGGAGGCCCTAAAGCTCGAAGGTGGAAGGAGCAAATCCTCCTTAAGTCAAAGAAAACAAACAGTGTTTTAGTAGAGACATCCCCTTTCTGTCTTTACTGATGGTCTCTAACACCCACAGCTGTCAATAAAACAAAGGTCTATTGTAGCTAGACTGAAAAAAGTGCCTGCACCATTGTAGATGTTCAATCAATGTGTTCTTAAAGCCATCACAATAGACTCGGGCAAGTGCATTGAGTGCTAGCTTCAATTTGTTATTTGTCTCTCTATTGCTTTTTGTACCTGATGAGTCAGGAATCAATGGCTAAAACTTTCATTCAAAGCCTTGTTTTGAAACCCCAGCCAGGAAACTTGCTCTTGTTTCAGGAAGCTTTCAAACATCTAACAGCATGACTACCACCAGTACAATGTGATATAAAGGTTTTAACACAGTTTTATTGGTCATTAAGTACAAATATGCTTTGTGCACACATTTATTTTACAGACATTTATTGCAAATAAGTTGTTGTTAGCGTGATGTGCACGTTATTTGTGCTATTCTGTGATGAGTTGTGGGGTAGTTACAGTGGCGCTTGAAAGTTTGTGAACGCTTTAGAACATTTATCTATTTCTGCATAAATATGAACTAAAACTTCATCAGATTTTCAAACAAGTACTAATAGTATATAAAGAGAACCAAATTAAACAAATGAGACAAAAATGTTAGACCTGGTCATTTATTTATTGAGGAAAATGACCCAATATTACAGATCTATGAGTGGCAAAAGTATGTGAAACTTTGAGATTAGCAGATTATTTGAAGGTGAAAATAGAGTCAGTTGTTTTTAATCAATGGGATGGCAATCAGGTGTGAGTGACCACCATGTTTTATTTAAATAACAAGGAACTATCACAGGACAAACAACACATGTGGAAGTGCATCATGTCACGAACAAAGAAGATTTCCAAAGACCTCAAAAGAAGATTTGTTGAGGAAATTCAAGACCATTGTTACGCTCTCTTAGAGCAAGGCGTGTAATAGAGGAACGATGTTTTGTGGATGGTTGACCAAAATAGATCTTTTTGTTTGAAATGAAATGTGTTATGTTTGGAGAAAGGAAAACACTGCATTTCAGCATAAAAACCTTATCCCATCTGTGAAAAACGGTGGTGCTCACTTTCAACATCTGATACATGTTCTATGTTCTATTGTGAATAAAATATGGATGTATGAGATTTGCAAATCTTTGCATTCTGTTTTTATTTACATTTATTTACATTTTACACAGCGTCCCAACTTCGAACTGGAGTTATATATATATTAATAATATAAATCTATGTCAAACTGTTAAAACGAGCAAACAGAAGAATTACAAGCTTCTAATTGTCATAAATGTTGCTTTGTTGTTGAGAAATCCAGATGTTTCAGTGCTGATTGTATACACAGCTGACAGAAGCTCTGTGTGTGTTTCAGTATGATTTTGTGGAGCTGCTGGATGGCAGTCGTCTGATCTCACGGGAGCGTGTTCAGCTGGACCCAGACCTCAGGGACGGCATGGAGAGACCGGTCAGCGTGCAGCATGCAGGATTCATTCAGTTCCTGCAGGCCGGAGTTTGGCACCTGGCCTTCTATAACGATGGCCGGAGTGTGGAGCCTGTTTCATACAACACCATGGTGCTGGGTGAGTGTGTTGCTGTGCCTGAGGGTTTTTTTTTACGTTTGTAAATAATAAAAAAAGCATTATGTGTGCACATTTTCTGTCATGTTAACACAAATCCTGTCCTTTAAGTCTTAGAAGTTGCAGGTTTGGTGTTTATGGCAAAGGCATGTTGTAATTTTCTATTTATTATTTCTTATTTTATAAGGTGCAGAAATTATGGCTACGTTCACGTTACAAGCCTCATTTCCCAAATCATATTTTTTGCTCAGATCCGATTTCTCTAACATGACAGTTCACACTTGTTTGGGTAAGTGACTCAAATCTGTCATTAATGTGAATGAACTGTCCTGAAATGACCTGCATATGCGCATCACAGTCAGTAAAGTCATGTGAATGAATCATGTGCATCATGAACAGCAAACTAACAAGCAGAACGACTTTGCTGCAAAGATAATTAACTCTGAACAGCTCTCAGCTGTTCATTATTAGAGCGAGACGACAGCGAAAAGGGTGAGATGTGTTGCTTTTTCACTGTTTACAGGCTTTAACTTCTGTTCAGCGCTGCTGCCATGGTAAGGCTGAATGATGGTGCAAACGTAGTGGGAAAAAAGCACACAAATTTCAATCTGAGCATGCTCGTTAAGGTCACATGGCCATGAATTGGATATGTATCCAATTTAGGAGCACATATGAAACGCTATGTTCACATTACCAGGTTAAAGTGGCACAAATAATATCTCAGGGCTGTGTGGACACACAATTCTGATCTTTTCAAATCCGACCTGAGTCACTTTCATATGTGGTCCTAGATTGGATACGTATCTGATTCATGGCCATGCAACCTTAACGTGAAAGCTCAGATCGGAATTCATGTGCTTTTCTTCCACTGCGCGTGCGCCATCAGTCAGCGTTACCATGGCAGCAGCGCTGAACAAAAGTTAAAGCCTGTAAACGTTCGAAAAGCAACACATCTCACCTTTTTCACCTTCGTCTCGCTCTAATAATGAACAGCTGAGAGCTGATCAGAGTTAATTATCTTCGCAGCGAAGGCTCGTTCTGACCGTTTGTTTGTTTGCTGATGATGCATGTGATGCACACATTCACATGACATTACTGAGTAGGATGTGCGCATGCTGGTCGTTTCAGGACGCCAGTTCGTTCACATTAATGACAGATTTGAATCACTTACCTAAACGAGCGTTAACAATCTTGTCAGAGAGATCGGATTTGAGCAAAAAATCGGATTTGAGCAATGTGGCTTGTAATGTGAATGTCGGATGTGCCAATGTGGCACAGGTCGGATTTGAAAAGATCAGATTTGTGTGTCCACACAGCTCTGAAAACATCAAATCTGACTCGCATTAGTGCAAAAAATCTGATTTGTGCCACTTCAACCTGGTAATGTAAACATAGTGCTACATTTTCTCAAACTGCAGAATGGCCCAAATTTTGCCATAGTTCGTCACTTTTGAGATTTTTAATTATTTTTATTAATAATGCACAATGTAAATGCAAATAGATATAAGTTACAGCTGAATCCATGACATTACACTTTTATTAGGCTACTGACGCTATTCTCTAAGAGTCTGGTGGATTTTGTCGCTGAACATGGCTAAGCATCGCCTACTTTGACAGGAAGTGGCCATCTGATGGACATGCAAAGCAACCAGTCACAGACTCTTGTGTTGTTGACTGTGTAGGAGCAGGTGACTTCAAAACGATGCTGTAACAAAAACAGACCCACGAGAAACCATATAAAATGCTGTCACACCGAGGCTGTATCAGCTTCAAATAGTCTTGAATGGTACTTATTAGTGAGATGCTGTGTACAGGCAAATGGTGTGCTACTGGTGACTAGCATTTAGCTTGCTAAACTATATAGCCAACATATGGGTCCCCATATCCCCATTAACCTGCCAATAATTAGTCACTTTTGTGGCCACACTCTGTTTTAAATATATAGCAGTAATACAGACTGAACTGGACAATCTGAACACAAAACAGCAAGGTTAAAGTAACAAACACATGTAATGTGTAAATCTTATCATTAGCATGAAAATAACATAATACAAACTACCTTTTTCTGTAAAGAGAACTGAAGAAAAATAAGTTATTAACAGAAGCCAAAACCACGAAGAATTCTGGGTAGGTCCGACCCCAGTTCTACTTTATCTATATATAGTTTTAAAAGTTTCTGGTGTTTATTTGTTTTTAGGAAGTGTGACAATTGAGACCTGACCATCATATCCATCAGTAAAGCACTGTTTTACTATAACTAATGGAGTACAAAATTAAAATCTAAGATGTATATCGGCTGATGTTATCACGTCAGAATTTTTAGCTTAAAATTGATGTCAGCCACCAGATTTTTTTCCATTTTAAGCTGTTTAGCTGCTTTAGTCAAATTTGAGCTTATTTTATTTCAGTGCAGGGATGTGGGAAATTGTTCTAAGATGGAGGCACTGATATTTCAAGCAGCATATATGTAACATGAATAATGATATTATGCTAAATTATTTGCCTTTTGTCTGTTTAAATTTTTTGATACTTTACAAAAAAAAATGCGTCACGCTGCAATATAATGAGGCGAGAGACAGCAGTATATACACACAACTGGCACATCAGACCTCTGACTCACATTTATGTAAATGAACTGAGCGGCGACCAATCAGATTGTTGATATGTGATGCGGTATCCGATTGTGTCACATCCACAGTGCCTTGGAGAGATTAACACTGGAACGCACACTGAGCGGAAAATATACTGGACGATGAAACATTAATATTACGTTAGATTTTTTTTTTTAATTTCAAAGCATTATTAAGCTGCTTAGGCCTCTGTCTCTGCACACAATTTCTTTCTTCAAACCTCAAACTGTGTGTGTTTTAGTGATGCACCCCCAGGGCAGCCAGCAATTGTTGTGGAAAATATAAATGAAAAATACAAACTATTAAAATGGTCAGATCTCTGTATTATTATTTTTGTTTTTATCATTTGCAGTCCTGAAATCAGGGGGTGCGGGCAGCCCCCTCAGCACCCCCACTTCCCACATCCCTTCCTCAGTAAGTGTCATGACAAGCGAGGCTTGTTAGAATAAGCCCTTATAAAGCATTATAAAGGTTGTCATTAAAGGCTTATGTATGTGTCATGTAGCCTCATGTAGTCAGATTTTTAATTTTTAATATTTCTTCACTTTTTCCTCCGTTACAGTCCTCTAACACAGAATTACACGTGAATAAGGGCTTTACTAGGACACAGTCGCACTGTTACTGCTGTGAATGTGTGTCCTATTCCCTCTCCGCTGAGCTGAGATGTGTGTAACAGCAGTAATAATGAGCAGAGGAACACACTCCCAGTTGCAGTGGATCAATAACTCTGACCAGCCCACCACACACACAGCCAACAACACTGCAGGTCCACTCATGCTAACGTGCCTCTGGCATTTCTGCTGGTGGTCTGCTTCTTCAGATATGAATTTATCGACGTAATGGGTTATGAACGGCCGTTTGTGTTTACAGCACACTATGGTGCAATACTTTTTTGAGTGCTCTATATAGATATCAACTCCATCAACCCCCATTCAGTCGATTATAGACTTAATAATTTATGTGCTTATGTGCTGATGCAGTTGTATGTCCCTGCTGGGAACTTCAGTGTGGAGAGAGTAAGTGCTTCTCAGACAAGACCATATTAACCCACAGGGCCTTAGGTGCAGTTCAGGGCCCTAGCCACTAGGGGCCTCTTTGAGCATCACTGCTCTTGGACTAGCCTTAAAGCACCTGGAAAATATGGTAGCAGACACAGACACCGCTAGCTAGGCTACCTGTTTCTTGCAGGTCTGTTTCTGTTGTTAACATTGGGGTGTTTGAACGTTGTCCACCCCTACACATTACACTTAACAGTCTGTGATTCGTTGGTTTCCTTGTCAGTCAAGTGGTCATTTACATTCAAAGTAGGAGGATCTTGGTCTGAAAAAAATATTTGGGGTTTTAACTTGACCGTATATAAAAAAGATTCTTGTTTTGTTCATTTAATATTCGAAGATCAGTTAATAAGAAATTAACTTTTAAAAGTTAAAACCGCCGATTTTTTTTTTAGTGTGGCCGAATTGACTGACAAAACCAACAAGACACTCTGACAATTGTTTCTATTCAGTCACAAGCAGTAAGGCTATGTAAAGTTTACTTAGCCTGCTAATGTCTGTGTTACATCCATTTCCATGGTTATGCTACACCTGTTTCCATGGTTAGACCACACCCTTTCCATGCTCACCCATTCCCAGGTTACAGGACATCCATTTACTTGGTCGTGCTGCATCCCATTCCCATGATTACATTACAGTGATTTCCATGGTTACGCTAGACCCATTCCTATGGTTACAGAACACCTGTGTTTCATCTTCATGCTACACCCATTTCCATGGTTCCACTACACCGTTTTCCATGACTACAGAACACCTGTGTTCCTTGGTTGGGCTTCATCCATTTCCATGGTTCCGCTACATTGTTTCCATGACTACAGAACACCTGTTTTCTTTGGTTGTGCTACACCCATTTCCATGGTTCCGCTACACTGTTATCCGTGGTTACAGAACACCTGTTTTCTTGCTCATGTCACACCCATTTCCATGGTTCCGCTACACCGTTTTCCACAGATACAGAACACCCATTTTCCTTGGCTGCGCTACACCCATTTTCATGGTTATAGTGCATCTGTTTCCTTAGTCTTAGTCTACAGTGATTTTCATGGTTACACTATGCTCATTTCTGTGGTTACAGAACATCTGTTTTCCTTAGTCATATTAAATCCATTTCCATAGTTACATTACAGTGACCTCCATGGTTACACTATACCCATTTTCACGCACTACAGCCATTTTTATACATACATTTCTATCGTTAGACTCCATTTCATGGAGCACCTCAGCCCCTACCTTCTAAAATACAAACCCTGCCCTTTCACAAAAAAAATCACAACGGATAAAGATTGTTTATTTGACTCCAAAAGGATTTTTCTTTTTTCCAGAATCGGTGATGGAATGCCCTCACAACTGTAACGGAAATGGCGAGTGTGTGTCTGGCACATGCCGATGTTTCCCAGGATTCCTCGGGCCATACTGCTCTCGAGGTAGGATAATTTATGATGTAATTGTTTTTCTAAAGGGCAATGGCGACATTTGCAGCATTGCTTGGCTTATTGTTTTGCAGTAAATGGAGTTTGGAGTGCAAACACTTAGAATCATTTGCCAAAGCGGATTATCTTTCTCAACAGCGAATTTGCAGTATAAAGCTGACCAGTGGAACCGGCTTCAATGGCCAAAACACAACATCACCCCAGACTGTCTTTGTGTATTTACATCGTGTTAGACAGCTGAAACATGCTATAATTATCCACGATGCCGTACGTGTCCTTTAGCTGCCGCATGCATCACCAAATATGAATGTTTCCAGCTTTAATCTCTTTCACTGCCTTTGAGCGTTACCTCAAAATGTCAGACTTTCATATCAATCAAGCAAACACCAACAAACACAAGCGTTTCAAACTTGGCAGTTGGCTTTATAATGTTTAGGAAAAAAGTGACAAGCCAAATGAATCAGTGTGAGAGGGGGAGAACATTCTAGATACTTCAAAAAAATGACACAGAAAAGATACGCGTGTCTAACGCTTGAGTTTAATGGTGTTTTACCATTTTCTTAGGATTTTACGGTGATAAATGAGGATGAATAGTGTAGAACTACATTAACAGTGACCAGCTGATACAGAGACACACTTAAAAATATGAAACATGAACACTCAAAGAAACTTTTGCATGATTAGAAGGTTCTTCATATCATGAAAGTGTTCTTTAGATCGATGGAGAATGTGCTATAGATGGTACTATATAGAACCTTTTTGAAAATTGTTCTATATAGCACCAAAAAGCGTTCAGCTATGGTTAGTTTGTAACAAAAGCAGAACCTATTTTGGTGCTATATAGATGCATTTTTTAAAAAGGTTCTATATAGAACAATCTGAAGAACATACTGTCATAATGTAAAGAACCTTAAAATCATACAAAAGGTTCTTTGAGTGTTCATGGTTCTGTATAGAACCGTTTTCCTTACTAAAGAACGCTTAAAGAACCAAGTGTGTACAGTAATAGTCTTAGTAGCTTTTATTCCAGCAATAATTCAGAGAACAACCACATTTAAACAATTGTCCACAGGATGCTGTTGGCTGGATATTTTTAGTTTTTAGTCCAGCAGTGACACTGATGTGTTCAAAATGCCAGCAGCACTGCTGTGTCTGATCCACTCGTACCAGCGCAACACACAAACACACTACCTCCATGTCAGTGTCACTGCAGTGCTGAGAATGATCCACCACCCAAATAATACCTGCTCTGTTGTGGTCCTGTGTGGTTCTTGACCATTGAAGAACAGGGTAACAAAGTATGCAGAGAAACAGATGGACTACAGTCTGTAACTGTAGAACTACAAAGTGCTCCTATATGGTCAGTGGAGCTGATAAAATGGACAAAGAGTGTAGAAACAGGGAGTTGGTTTTAATGAAGTGGTCAGTCAGGATTTATGTATACATCTAGATCTTTTTGCTAAACTATCTCTCCAACCTCATTTTCTCTCTGTCTCCCAGCGGCCTGTCCGGTTTTGTGCAGTGGTAATGGCGAGTACAGCAGGGGACGCTGTCAGTGCTACAGCGGCTGGAAGGGCACTGAGTGTGACGTCCCCGCCAATCAGTGTATAGACGCCCAGTGTGCGGGTCATGGCCTGTGTGTGTCCGGTCTGTGCGTGTGTAACCCCGGCTACAAGGGTGAAAGCTGTGACGTGGGTAAGTGGATGACATATTGATGCTGTGCTAACGTCGATTCACACTCACTGTTTTTCAGTCTTAAAGGGGAATTCTCCTGAAATTTCTCCAGAGAGGTTGGGTGTGAAATGGTCGACTGTAGTGGTGATAGGAACCAGGGGTCATCATGACTACAACACAAATATAGACATTTTATTTACTATCCAAAACCACCAGTGAACCTAAACTTCTTCTGAGTTTTATATAGAATGTTGATGATGGTAAAATAGTGGAAAATCTGAAATAATATGTTTTCTTTGGGGACTATTTTGCCTTACAACACCATGTATCCATGGTTTATCCGTCCACCAAGAATGGATTTAAAGGCCAAAATCTTATCAAAACTATCCTAAAACAAGTTATCAGACAACAGGCTGTGCATTCATAACCATTTCATGTAATAACTTTCTGTGAGGGAGCTTTTAGAGGTGGACGCCTGGTTCCTATCACCACCACTGTGAACAGTTCTGACTTTGTTCACAATCTTAACCAATTAAGGGACATCAAAGAGAAAAACTCATCTTTTTCAACATCGCCAAGCAGGTCATTACTCCGATGAGTGTTATTGACTTCGGTGGCAAGTATTTGTTTTGATAAATTACCTTCATTTAGCCGCGTCCATTGACTCAAATGCATTTCTATGGACAATTGTGTTGACATCAAGCATCTGTCGAAAACTCCCACCTTCTAACAGCACCTATTTTCAGCCTTTCGATCGGCCCGCCCCGTTCTCTCCTCCGGTCAATCCAATCGAGGGTATTGATCGCTGTTCAGTCGGCGTGGGGATGAACTCTTTAGATGTATATTTTCAGGTCACTTGAGCGCGGTGTTAGATGTTATTGAGTTGAGTGAGTAATTCACCTTCAGGCTCGAGCGCAGGTAGGTTGGAGCTGCCCTCATTTAGAGGAGAGCTCAGCTAGAAAAGGATTCAACAACACGCTTGTGTTCTTTCATCACTTATTTTCCCCTCCGTGCCGAATAGTGACATTCAATCCTGTCTTACCTACAGCATCGTCGGCCATTCGCAGACTTTGGCTTTGTCCTCTTTAACCTTTAATGCCTGCCTAGAAAAGCAGTCCACCCTTCTGCTTTTAACCCTCTGGGGTCTGATGGCATTTTCCCGATTTGTGCATATCTTCATTAATTCTCCTTTAAAGGCTCTTCATATAACATGATACTCATATGTTTCATATCAAAATGCTCCGTTATCTTCATCACTACTTTCCAAAACCACTGCAGCAACTTCAGCAGCTGTAAATTCTCTGCACACCATTTCTCATGTGTCTCCAATGTGGACTAAATGAAGATTGAAGGGTGTCCAGCGCGATGGTTCAGTCCTTAGTAATTTCCTGAATGTCCATTGGTCAGTTTCACACAAAATGTAGACGGACACACAAATCCACCAGTTCCACACAGTGAGAGGCAGATGACGTGTATTTCAGCCCCTCTTCATAGACTCATAACTCCGAATGTGAGTCACATACGATCTTGTGATAGGATGGAATGTAACAGATTCTACAGATTCGGGAAATGTTTAAACTGTATTTCTGTGCTGGATTATCACAAAGAGAGAGAAACAGATATAGAAACATTGAATTTGATGCACGGGTGAGTTTGTGAACCCCAGAGGGTTTAATATTATGATTTCTTAATGCTGTTTCTGCATTCGTTTTGAGATGCGATGAACAGAGATGAAACCAAATATGACCGAATGGATCATACACAGATGTCGCACCTCCCGTTTCTGCGTCACAGCTTTTGATTGGAAGGGTAAACATCTTGAAGCTTATTTTGATGAAGACTAGATTAGACAAAGTAGAGGTTTTAAAGGTTTGTGAGTGGCTTGAGAGGAGTTTTACTTTCATTTTATTTATTCTTCCTTTACCATGGCCTATTGACTGTATCAGTAGTTTAGTAATCTGCCGATTATTTGGACAATTAGTGATGTCTTTTAAAGAGCCCAGTTTTACTTCTGTGTGTCAAAAAACAGTTTAAAACATGATTTCAACTCTTAGAATTAAACAAGCTGCCTTTGCTACTGTACCTTTAAGACAGAAATGTGTAAATGAGCTCTGTTCTGATTCGCTGAACTGTATTGTGTTTCAGTCAAAAAGCAGGGCTTAAACACTCCTTAGAACTTGAGCGTAAGTGGGCTAAAAAGATGGGCTGGTCTTTATGACATCGCAAAGGACAGTTCATTTTATTAGGCTGTATTTGGTGCTTAATTTCCATAAACTGAGCAAATGACATTATTGGTATGTTTCGAAAACTTACATTACATTGTGTTTACATTAATTGTGTTTACACTGATGTTTACAACAACAAACTATTTTATTTCATATAAGTAAGGAAAATGGGACCTTGCATGATATTGGTCCTTTAAAATAGGGGAAGTAAGAAATAAGAGAAATGGCCTGAACTGAGTGATAATGTATCACTCAGAACCTTTCAGTGGTTTTAAAATACTACACTCACAGAAATTGAACAACAAAACCTTTTAAAAACTACTTTATTAGACTATGTGGTAAAAATGCATATAAATGAGTATGTCCATCATGTTCGTACTGTAAGTGTTTTAAGTATGCATTTTTGTAATGCAAATGAGTATCAGCACAGCTCCAGCTTACTTATTTCTTCTCAGATGTAGAGAGAAAGAGCTGTTGTGCTCACTGAGCTGTTCATAGTACTTGCCCATTAGATGGTTTGATAAATTATGAGCAGGTATATGCAGAAAATGTGTATTATTTTGATATGTGACCTAATGAGGCATGGCTGAGGTCACTTTGAGCTAGCAGCTTCTACTGTGCTTCATGTGCACTGCTTTAAATAAGGATGCGTTCTTATTCATCAAAATGAAAAAAATAAAGAGTTGTAACTCCAGATTATTATAGGCTGCATATGATGTAGCTTTAAATTCAACCTCAGTTTTTAGACATTATATGGTAGCATTATGAAAAGTCTTTAAGTTTAACAGTCTAGTTTTGCAGGTGTTTAGCAGGTTGTTATATAAGCAGCACTCAGAGTGCATGGCCTTACTCCAGTAAAGTGGAGATCTGATTGTTGGAGGGATTTATTGGCATGTATTCAGTCAGAGCTTGCTGTATGTATTAGATCTTATCTCTGCAATTAGCAGCATACAAAAGGTTTTAGGTTGTTTTGTGCAAATATCAATCAGGGTTTTGCATTTCAGTGAGAAGCTGGAGGAATGTGCGCAACGTGTGACTGTGTCAATTAAGAACTGATGTAACTCCTTAAAGTGTAGCATTAATATATATTACATTATTATAACTATAGCTTATTACCATCACTTAAGCCCAGGCCAGATATCTGCTGTTCTTTTATTTCATCATTCATTATTTGTTCATTATTTTTCAAAAATTCCATAACTTGCTTAATACACACACACACACACACACACACACACACACACACACATGCACACACACACACACAAACTGACAATTGTACATAATGTACATAATGATTGCTGTAACAAAAATAAATCTTTGTTAAAATGTTGTGAATGACATTTGGTGCTCTTTCACTTTAAGTTTGAAAAGGCATCATCTGAACACCGCAAAGGTCACCATGCCCAATGCCAAGCGTGGACTAAGGAGTATAAAGCCTTCCAGCGTTGGGCTGTGGAGCAGTAGAACTACATTCTCTGAAGTAATGGAGCTCCGTCCAATACCTTTGAGATGAGTTGGAGTGATCCTGAATTGACCATCCAACATCAGTACCTGACCTCACTAATGCTCAATCAAATCCTCACAGCAATGTTCCAACATCTAGTAAAGCCTTACCAGAAGAGTAGAGGCTGGTACTGCAACAAGGGAGGATGATCTCACTATTATTATCCTTCATTTCAGAAGGAACGCTAAGCAGGTGAAAATATGCCCCCATATAATTATATCTTATAAAAAGATAAATAAGTGTATTTTACAATCTTACTGATTGATCTAACTGAAAAACAGCTACAGGACAGGAGCCAACAGGCCTCATCCATATGTAAGAGTGAATTTGTATGCGTGTCCTTCACTGACATTTTTACTTCGAAAGTCCTCGCTGCTCTGATGTATTCATAGATCCGAATGGAAATTCTGAGAATTGGATTTCTTGGCAATGGCCGATGAACTGAACGTTCCTTAATTAACGTCCGTATGGATGAACAGATTACGTAGACTGAGGCTGAGGAACCTGCTGGCCATCTCAAATAAAGGTTAATGGGGCTGTGATTAATGTGCTCATCCAATACAAACAGGCTTCAGGGAACGTAACCTGGACCTGAACACCTGCACCTGTTTGTCCAAGCTCAGATCAAAATGTTTTTCTTTCCTAATGTTATGATGCAACACAAAAATCACAGTTAACTGAAAAACATCCACCAGGACCCATCAGCTGGATACTAACACAACAAAATGAGACGCACTTAAGCACATTAACTGTAAAATTTTCATTCAATTTAGTAGGTTTTACCATAAGTGAATAAGTGACGCTTTGGGAGTTAATACTTCTGCAACATCTGTGTTATATCGTAATTGCATTTATGCAAATTGTTTTTTTGTGGCCTTTTTGGTTAAATTGGGATTTATCACACAGTCATTTATGCACAGTGATTTAGAGCATCTGCCTGAAACTTTTGCATATGCACAGTTTCCCTGTATGATGGAATTCCTACTTTTTGGCACCACTGACAAAGACAGAAACAAATACAGACGTGCAAATACAGTGCAAATGAACATACTATGCGGAAAGCAGCAGTACAAAATGCACATACTGGTGACATACTGTGCAATGAGTGCATGTTTGGCAGCAGCAGTTGTTGAGGTTGTAGTACTTGTAATAACCAGACAGCACATTACATGCAAATTAGCAGTTTTAAGGGACTGCTAATGAAAAGGTGGGTCATTCTCCATTTGGAGTGGGAATTCAGGTGGATACATTTTTAGAAAATCAATTTCTTTCATCCCAAAACTAAATAACATGTCCTATTATCATATATGCAAAAAAGAGAGCTTAATTCCAAACATATTTTACAGTTACTGGCGTTGTATGAATATGGTGTAATACCAGTGACTGTGACACCAGTGACATTTTGGTTAAAACTGAGGATTTTGTAGATTGGCTGACTCGTTGGTGGTCAGGTGACCTTGTGTATTTAAAATCAGTAATAAAAATGATATTTGGCATTATTTTGACAAAACTTTAATTACACAGCCATTAAAGCACATAACACCGATGACACAGAAGTTATGTGCAACTTGATAAACAAAATTATTATCACCTTGGAATTCATGCAGTCATATGCAAAAATGTGTGTGCCGCTGCTTAAATTCCATGTTTGTCTTGATTTTCTGAATGTAAATAAGTGAACACATCCCCTGCAGAGAACACACTTCAGCACATTTCTGTGCACAATTGCTGTTTATTTTCTAAATTTAACATACTGGAGAAAAAACCCATAAAATGCTTGTGCAAAAGTCATGGCACATTTTATATTGTATGCTTTATTTTATTCCAGTATGTTAAACTCAGCCAATAAATAGAAACTTGTGCGCTAAAAACCTGATCTAACTTGACCACATTTATACTTTTGCATATGTCTGTACGCTGTGATGTATGGATGTATTTTTCCAGCTTTCGTGTGTTCTGCTTTTGAAAGATGAACTGCCGTGTTTTGTCTGCAGTGGACTGTGTTGACCCGTCCTGTTCGGATCACGGCTCCTGTCTGCACGGCCGCTGCCACTGTTTGGCGGGCTGGACCGGGACGAGCTGCGAAAGCCCACTCTCTCTCTGCCCGGAGCACTGCTCAGGCCGCGGAACCTTCCAGAGCGACACCAGCACCTGCGTATGTGAGGCCAACTGGACCGGGCCGGACTGCTCCACAGGTAACACTGGAAATCATTCGCCAGTGCATTTCTGCTCTTATCCGCTGTGAGGATGGTTTTAAGATTCTGTAGCATGTCTGAACTGAAGGTGCGCGTGGGAGGTTTGATGTGATTTTGCATTTTCTGGAGTGCAGCCATCAGTGAGATTGCTGGAGCGGCATCCCTGAAGGAGATGCGCAGCATGGAGAGCAGCTTTGTAACCAGAATCAAGTTTTTTCACCGTAGACACTAATGTGATAAAGTCAGAGACCACACTTCATTTATTTTGTTTCCAGTCAAAGCAGCCATTAAGTATAAATTATTCCGTTTTCTGAGGAGCTTAGATATAAGATAATCCATTTGCATAAAGAAGGCAAAGTGAAAAACAGGAGCTTCTTAACTGGAGTTCAAAAACTGATGAAAAGCTACAGAGAAAATGGGACTCCTAACAACCACCTGGAAGACCTGGTAGAGACCAAAACTGCCCCCATCAGATAAACAGCACTTAAAGCTTTCATCTTTAAGAGAGAGGAGAAAATCAAGCTTCAGAACTGAAAACATCCACAGGTGTTTCTGTCCATCCTTCCACGGTGAGTGGACAACTCAGCACTATGGGTCTGAAAGGATGTGTAGCTGTCAAGAAGCCTGACTGAGAAAAGGAGACAGACACATCAAACAAAGAAGCTGAATAATGGACTGACCACCCCAGAGTCCAGGCCTCAACATCACTGAATGTGTTTGGGATTACTTCAGAAAATGATCAACCAACTCGCCCTATTGCCCTATTGGAGCTGGCTTAGTTTTAGAAGAGGGGGTTCAGTAATGTAATCTGTACGTAATTAGACTAGCGGGTTCTGTGCAGATGTTTACATCATCACTCTGTGACAGGAACCACACTTCTGACCAATAACAATAGTAAATGGCATATAGACTAAAACCAAATGCCGTCCAACAAGACAGAAAATGCACTGCATTGCGAGAGGTTCTTTCTGAATATTTCATTTTCTTTCTACCTGTAGTTGGACCATGACCAAAAAATGTTCTATTTTTCAATAGTCTTTTTATGAACTCGATGATATAGGAATCAGGTCAAATAAGGCCCAATTCCAGTTCTTATTTTTACCCCTACACTTTGTGTTCGAGTGTCTCCTTGTCCCTTGGAACTGAGTTACAAGGGGTAGTGGTTGAAATCTTCCCCTATGAAATGGGACAACCCTCAAATAAAAAGAACATTACTTCATTAACAGGCTACTACTGGTGCTGTAGGCAGCCATGCCAGTCTGCAGTGATAGCAGAGGAGGGTAAAATTCAGCAACCTCACTGCTTGGCTTTAGTTACATTTAGGGAATCATATGCTTTCAAAGAGGGAGGATCACAATTATTTAGTATCGCTTACTCCTAATTCTTCAGTGATATGGAGCTGAATTCAGATATTCACAGCTTTTCATCTGAATTTTCCTGTTCCACCTTAAATGGAGCAGCAGATATATTCTAGTGCTTCAGGTGTCAGTGATGCTGGACTATTTAAGGTGAAATGAGAAATTTAGCTAGTTAGCTACTGAGACATTAGCACACTATTAGCAATTTTATGCTTGTTATGAAGTAAAAGATCATAATACACTAAAACGTCATTAAACTAAGACCATGCAATGGTTATTGTGATTTTTTAACAAAGAAAATACTCACATTATTGGGTTTTGTTGGTCGTTTGTGCAGCCGTCTTGCCAGTTTTTCTTTTTTTTTCATAACACTTTGTTTGGAGTGTGCCTCTGTGCCATGTAGCCCTAACACTTAGCCCTACCACTATAAAAAAAAAATGTGACAATACCCCTGGGCGTAAACGCGCAAAACGGAGGGCTAAGGGCTAAGTGGTAGGGCAAGGGGTGAAATGGGATTGGGCCTAAAGCTCCATTTACCTGTCAGCCTCTTAAGCTCAGAAAAGAAGAACAAAAATGGAGGTGCCATTTTCTATACGCTGATTTTATCATTACATTACTGTGATGTTGATTTGAACAGGACTACTATTACTGAGGGAGCTCTGAATTTGATGAATTATAGAAGATAATCCACTCCTGAATTATTACTTAATAGATTGTTAAAACTACGGACATTGCAGATTCATACTGGATTTAAATTACAAATCTCGTCAGTAATCACTCAAATCACAGCACCTCCCCAGATTAAACTAATTCAGCTTCAATAGAATTTAGGACTGAACTTTGAAGGTGTGTCTGCAGATTACTTTGACAAACTGAAAATGAGTCTCCTTTAAAGAATGGAAGCTGTAATAAAGGTAAAGAATGGACACACTAAACACTGAAACATCTAGTTGTTGAGGCTTCTGGGTGATTTTATGTAAAATAAATGTTTTCTGCTTTTTTTTCTAATGCTGAAAAATGAATAACTTGCACTAGATGGTCATTTTGATAGCATGTTAAATAAAGGGGGGTCTCTGACTTTTACAAAAGCCTATCAAATAAGATATATAGTACTCTCCAGAAGTCAAAGACCCCCTGTAGTAGTAATGATACTTACTCTAGTAATGATATAATATTTTGATTAGGCAGAATTGGAATTAATGAGAATCATTATTCACCATATACATTAACATCTGCGAGGAATTTGGCAAGAATGAATGAGAATCAAGCATCAGTGTGTCCATTAATATCTATTATGATTTTCTTTTTGCCATAGACAAAACCAGAATCTTTTTTTACTTACCATGTACATTAATATTGATTGGGAATCTGTGAACAGGAATCACAATCAGGTTTATTCAGTATCCAAGTTCTTAGGCAACCAAGAAAACTGTTTAAATTACTCATCCTGTCAGTAAGTGTGTTTTTTGCCACTGAAACACTGTGGGTCAGATTCTCGGCCAGAGATTAAGCCTAATCCCAGACTTCACAGCATTCTCAGTGAAGATTCTCTGTTAAAACGAAAATGGAGTCGAGGATTAGACCTAACTGACCCAAAATAACATTAAAACCAACACAAATAAACATAAATAAGGTAAACAATAACAAGAATTTTTATCAGATTGATTAAATGTGTACACTATTTAAAAAAACAGGTTCTTCAAGGGTTCTTTAGTAAAGGGAATTTAGGACCATGAGTTCTATTTTGATTCATTTGCATGATTAATCCCATAAAATCCTAGGCTTATTACATACTAAGCCTCATTATTTAGTAACTACAGGGACTTCAGTGTAAACTGACTGAGCTATTCTTAGATTTTAGACGTGTAACAAAACTTTGGGCCTGCTGGTGGGCCCTGGGCATTTAAGGGGTTAAATGGTTCTTTATATTGTGAAATGGTTCTTTAGGTTGATGGACAATGTGGTGCGTATAGTTCTATATATCACCGAAAACTGTCAGGCTTGTATAAAATAGCAGAACCCTTTTTGGTGCTATATAGGACCATTTTCAAAAAAAGTGCTATATAGAACCATATAAAACACGTTTTCCATCAATCCGAAAAGAACCATTTAAGCATGCATGTGGTTCTATATAGAACAAAAGAACACGAAGAACAATCTTTTTAAAGTTTTTTCTCAGTACTTTGATTTTTCTGCTCACTGTAAGTTAGATTTTTTTTCTGCTTCTTTAAAGTGACCTTGGGTATGAGCAAGGAGCTATATAAATTAATATATTCTTATTATGTTATTATATGTTGTGTATTAATAATAATATAGAATAGTAATATAATAATAGTATGGCTGTGGATTAGAACTTGGGGACCTGCCCTGAGCGAGTGCATGCAGTTTGGTGGCTGTTGGGCAAAGAAATAATTAGGCTTGTGTGAGGGGCAAATTAATGGGAGCCTATGGGAGAAACGAGAGGAGGAGAAAAAAATGACAAACAGATGAATGCAGGTCAGAACAACATTAAATTCGTGCTTGGGGGGCTGCCCTGAGATAGTAAATGCGAAGCAGAGTTTTGGGTCAAGCAGAAGTATAGTAGATAGACGTGCAGTTTTTTAACCCCATTCATTCCTGTGGGAAAAAAAATCATAATTTAACGAAGATTGTGCGAAAACTGTATGTTAGATCAAAAAGCTGTGTACAAGCACACCATTCGCGATCAGAACAAACATTCCAGAGTTGGAACATTGTCGATAACTGCGGACGAGTTAGCAGACAAAAATCTGCCAGAAAAAAACTAATAATAACACAAAGAAAAATATAAATCAGATAGCAATAGTGTTTCACATTGCTTTGTAATGTGCAATCACTATTATTATTATTATTATTATTATTATTATTATCATTATTAGAGATTACTGAGCCACACACTCTGAGCTGAGTGATGATTTAAGCATGCATTTAGCACCATACTAAGCATTCCATTACTTTGTATATGAGCCTACAAACTAAAGATGCTAACTCCAGACAACAAACATTTCTTGTTCTTTGTACATTTGAGAGGACAACTGTGTACATTTGGTTTTGTATTGAACAATTCGAGCATAATTTTTCATAATTCAAAAATAAATTTATCGCTGAGGGTAGGTTGGGTGCATTTCACAAGTGAATCGGACGATTCAGTGAACATATCAAAAAATCAATATTATTTTTTGAAATGTATCAGCACCTGCTGTTTTAACCTTCTTAAAATAATAACAAAGGAAGAAATTCAGAAGCTTTGAGAGCGTGCATGTGTGTGATAGTGTTTGTCAGCAGTGGCCGCGGCCATGGCCCGCTGGGCGTCCTCAGCGGGGTTTTTGTCTCTTCATTAGCTCCACCGTCTCACCTCAATTAAATAAACTTTAATTAATGGATGCGTGGCGTGGATCGACCCGCCGCCCACTGGGACCTGGAAGTGCTAAAAACAGATAAACACCTTGCTGCTAATGAAAAATTGATTACATCGACTGGCGCAGAAAAAGAAGCCCCCTTTAAAAGAAAAGAAATGCAGTGGTTCGCCCCGCTCTCCCCAACATTGTTAATATTCCACACAGCCAGCTCGGCGTAATCAGAGCCTTCAAGGTGTCGCAATCGAAGAAAAACTCTCAGGAAAGAGGGCGAAATAGCTTCGGCGCTCAGCCATTAGGGGGCATTCACTTAAATTCCGTTGCCACTTCAGTTGTAATTCGTCGTTTCTGTGTGTTTGTGCTTTCGTCTCTACAGAGCGCTCCTTAAGACAAGTTTCCGCTCTGATCAGGCCGTCGAAGGACAAGAGAGTAAAATGAGTCATTGAAGTAATTTTTGGTGCAGTGTTAAATTGGCTCCAGAATGGCCTTATAAAGTGAAAATTGCCGACAGCGCTGGTATTTGGACACGTCCTGGAGGGTCATTGAGGTGATAGCACTGAAGATGTAATGACGGGCTGAAGCAATGGTGGACAGGAGCAGGAATGTTAAAGGCTTTCCTCCATGAGGAGCCTCAGGACTTCTGCAGTTAATTCCCCATTTGGCAGTCTTGACAGGGTAATTCTTCTGATTCAGAATTGTCTACATAATTCAATGGTTGAATCATTCAAAGACTCCGATTTCTTTACAATGGTGGTGATAGGAACCAGGGGTTGCCATGACTACAACACAAATATAGCCATTTTATTTACTATCCAGACCCACCAGTGAATCTACATGTGTCTTCTGAGTTTTATATGGAATGTTGATGATGGTAAAATAGTGGAAAACCTGAAAAAAATTCTGCCTCACAACTCTCTACATGCTGAATGTAGAAATGATGCAGTTTGCCAGACAAATGGTTAAAATTAAGATTAATTTAAAGTTTTAGTCCCATCATTGCTGTCCAAAGAAAAATAAGTATCTCCAAAATAGTAACTTTAAAGGAAAAGGCAAAAACACTCTTACCCTTCAATGTAAGTTAATGGAAAGAGATTTTATTCAAAGTGATTTTAGACCATTTCTATTGGTCCATTTATCATGAAATTGTTACACAACATAAAAGACAGCTGGTGTGTCAAAATGATGTAAAAATAAAAAACGCCAAAAATGGAGATACATGGTTTTCTTTGGACAGCAACGATATATTGGTTGCAGCATAAAATTTAAATTGTATTATCACATGATTTAATGGGTTAATTCCATGAAATATGCTAAAAACAAAGCTTTTTGAATGAAAACTTATTGTTGGTCTAAGGCTAATAACATTTTATTTCCTCTCATTCTTCATGGCTGCGAGTAGCCAATGCTCAAGCTTGACTTCTGGACATAGGAATGACCCTAGAACTGGAATAAGCCCCTCCTGCTTTCCAGAATGAAGAGATCAGTTATTTTGTTGTAGTGCCTGAAATTGCCAAAGAAATCAAGACAGGATTAACAAACTTATGCTCCCACTGTGAGTGTGATATTTGTGTGGAAATCAAAATGACAAAACAGATAAATAAATAAGGGGTCATTCAGAGGTTCACAGAAGATCCCTCCAGAAAGTAATGAAGAGTATCACAATAAGAACGATAATGCCAGCTTTCAAAACAAATCACTTTCAGATTTGTGGCATTTCTGGCAGTGCAATCCAAAATTCAGAGCTGTGGACTCAGTGCCAGGAAATAACCGAGTAATGGTGTTGGCAGCATACCAAAAAAAGTAATTAATATATGACATCTGGACAAATATGAAGAAAATATTTGTTTGGAAATGTGCACAATGCCAGTTGTGTTGTTTGAAATAACATCTTTTGTTTTTATAAGCACTTTGTTTTGTCCTGTTGTTTTGGGGAAGAAGGAGGTTAATTAGAAGGCTATTCACACAGAGACTTCATTACACTTTCATAAGCACCGAACACCATGTTTAAAAGGCAATACTTGAGTATTTTTATACAGCTTATGTGTGTAAGAAGAACTGTATTGACGTAATTGATGGTCATTCGTTCCATTTATAACACTGTCATAAAGAACTTACAAGGCACAAGCCTGAAAGATGCCCTAAAACTAAAATTATATGGGAAAATATGTACAGAAATTATTGTATAAGTCAAAATCTTTCATAGAACTGATATTATATATGGTGTTGTTAACTAGGCCTCTGCTTTATAAGGTGCATTACTTGGGAATGATGCTTCATAACGGTGTGTAATGAAACTAAATAAATGTCTGTCACTTTAGCTTATGGACATTTGTGTCAATGCAGCGTCATTTTAAAATGTGAAATACGCAAGTACAGCTTTTTAAGTGTGTTATACAGTGTTTATGCATGTGTTATGGAGTTCCTGCATGTGCATTTTTTTTCCTCAAATAAAACATTAGCTAAACTGTCAGGTGGTAAAAATGGATCAGATGCTTGCAGATTAAAAGACAAGGTTGTAGTTTACTTGAGAGCTTTGGAGTTTCACAGTCAGAACAGGGCAGGGTCAAGACCAGAGAGCACAATAACCAAACCAAGGGAGACATCCAGAGAGAATCCAGTAACCAGCCCAAGTTCAAAAAACAAAGAGATCAATAATGTCCAGCAATCAAACCAAAAGGGCAAACACGAAAAGGCAAAGTCAAAAAACACATAAAATCAGGTCATACACAGATCAGGCTTACAGACAAAGAACGCTCAGTACGCAATGGGAACTGTTGGCAATTCTTTGCAAAGTTTTAAACTAAAGCCTTATATACAAACTAACTGATTACAAGTAATAGAAAACAGGTGTGTAGACTCAGAACTCAGGTGAGGCTGAAATGAATGTCTATTGGTTGCTGGTGATGATGAGGAGTCATGTGATCTCCCACTGAATCATGGGAACTGGAGTTTTCCAGACAATCCATTGACCCAAGTGAGCCAGCAGGCGAAAGGGAACCAGTAGAGGAGGCATCCTCAGCCGGAGGCGTGACAAAACACTACAAAGTATTAAAAAGAGAATACAAGAATAATTGCTTCAGCAAATTGCTACATTCATATCCATGTGTTTGCTTTGAATAGTAAAATAATACATCATACGTCTTCCTTACATATCATCGCTATCGGAAAACAAAACCTCATATCTCCAAAATGGTAACTTCACAGGAGGAAAAACTTTTTAATGTGGAACATAATGCTACATGTTCTTTTCCAAGTAATTTTTTGTTGTTCCGTTCACCATAATATTTTAGTACAGTCAATACAAATGAACATAAACATGGTAAACAGTAACAAGAATTTTTGGATTAAAGATGGACTAAAGTATGTACATCCTCAAAAAGTTCTTTCTTAAAAAGATGGTTCTTTAAGGATTCTTCAGTAAAAAGGATGGTTCTATTTAGAACCATGAGTTCTATATACACTGTAAAAAATGGCTCATCAGATCAACCTAAAAAACTTCATGTGGTAACAAGCAATTGAACTAGTTTTATTCAACTCAAAAATTTCTTTGATTGAAAGAATCATTTATTCAAAACTATTTATATAAGTTGAATAAAACTAGCTAATTTACTTGTTACCACTTTTTTTTTTTTTTTAAGGTTGAACTGATGAGCCATTTTTTACAGTGTAGAACCATTTTACCATGCTAAAATGGTTCTTTGCATAGTGACATGGTTCCACAACGCCACAAAAAGGAAGTGGAGTTTTTAAAAAATGTGCAAAAAAGTAAAAAACATCAAAAACGGAGATACTGTGATGATATCAACAGAAATGAGACAGCAGCATTGAGAAATCATGTTATTGATGGAAAATAATAGAATCTGCTTTGCATTAACCCCTTAAATGGCCAGGGCCAAAGTTTTATTACGCACTTTTATAATCTAAGAATAGCTCAGCCAGTTTGCACTGAAGTCTCTGTAGTTACTAAATAATAAGCCTTAGTATGTGATAAGCCTGGAATTTTAGGGGGTTAATGGGTTAAACATAAGCTGTAAGATCAAAGTGTCAGTAGTGGCCCATAGCCTCATCTTGTGTATCCTGAAGGCTCATCACCCACCATTTATTAATTAATTAATTTATTTATTTAGCCTGCCAGGGTGCAATCAAAGGCCTCTGTTCTGAGTTAAAACTGCACAGAGTGAGTTTGTTGTTTTGATTGTGGTTGTTTTTTGTGTGCGTTGTGTTTCAGAGTTGTGTGCAGCGGAGTGCAGTCCTCACGGCGTGTGTGTGGGCGGCGCGTGTCGCTGCACCGAGGGCTGGTCAGGCTCTCGCTGTGAACAGGCGGAGTGTGAACCGCGCTGTGGGGAACACGGTGTGTGCCGTGATGGGAAGTGTGAGTGTGAGCAGGGCTGGACGGGAGAACGCTGCAACATCGGTGAGTTCAGCACTCCAGCAGGGGAGATAAAGCCCTCAGAGATATGATAATAAGAATAAGTAAACACACCCTCTACAGGGAGCATAAATATGGCATATTTCTGCACATTACAGTGCACAGTACAAAAAAAAATCAACAAAACAGTTTGGGGCACCCAAACTTTTGCACAAGTCTGAGCATTCAGTTGACTTCACATAAGTATTTGAATATGTAATAACTTGATGTACTTAGAGTTGTATCTGTCTCCTGTTATAAAACAAAACATAAAACCCAAAAAATGTAACTCAACAGTTTTATCTAAACCCTTAGATGCCTGGAGTGGTACTATTTAAATGCCTTTATGTTGTTACATAATCATTTACGTAATTACCTCATGAGTTACATTCTCATTCAGTTGACGTTCTGCATCGACAGGTTTAAGTCTGCACTGTGCACTCCTGACCGATTCTGCTTCAAGGCCAAAATGGTACAAAAACATGGAAAAAAAGGTTCTTTCTGTATAACAAAACTGTACACACATCAAATTCAGTATTCAATAAAATTTCTTCTCTTCTACTTGAAGACACTATTGTGGTATTGATTGAAATTGACAGCATGCTTCTATCAATGCTGTTGATAACTGAGACTTGTAATAGGAATAAATAGAGCTGATTGCAGATCAGTGGTATCCTCACTATCTATCAGTGATAATTAGCAGCATCCCTGGAGCCCAATTAGAGACAACATGACAACAGGAGGCTCCTCCAATTATGACAGTTAGACAGAGCCACTCACTGTAAATATTGCAGATATATATAGTTTATTTTGAAGATAGATAAATTGACAGAGAGAAACTTCATTAAAAAACTGCAATCACGAAATCACAAACCTGTAAATGTGGTAACTCATCAAAATATGAATTATTAATGACTCTTAGCTCACTGAAACAGGTGGAGAAACTGTGTTGAAAGTTCACTTTCTGAACTTTTGGTCAATACCTCATTTGTGTTTGTAAGTAAAAGATGAGATATTTGATTGTTTTTTAAGTTTTTGCAGTGCAGAATCGAGTCTGAGGATGCAGAATGAAAATGTAATGTTGACTAACTATGCAATGAATTATGCCACAACATTTAAATAATTCCAGAAGTTGAAATGAACAATTTACAATGACAGTAGCTCTAGATTAACAGGCTTCCAGTCACTATGCAGTGTAGAAATAATGGACAGGTTTTCCAGTCTGACTGAATTCATCTCAATCAGAATTCTTTATGATGATAAACTCACTTCTGATGTTGTGTATCGTGTTAAAGGGGACCTATTATGCTTTTCTGGTTTTTCCTTTCCTTCAGTGAGTTATTATGGTAGCGAACAAGACCCTATTCAGTGAATGTCTGTGAATAGAATTTAAGAGTCTGAATGGCTCCATCCTCTCTGAATGTCCTCCAGATACATCTTCACTGTGTTGTGAGGTTTTCTGTATTTGTGTGTTTATGAAATATAGCGTCAGTGTTGTCGTTTTGATGAAAGTGTTTTCTGCATTAACAGCTCGTTTTTTATTTGCAGTTTGTTGGGTCTTCTCAGCCACTGTATGTTATAACTTTTTGTGCATGCTCAAAGCTCAAAGTTGACAGCAGAGGGATAAACTCTCTCCCACAGAAACCACTTTTCTCAGCTGCCTGAAACGCCCCTTTGGAATTCCAGCCCTTTTCCTTTCTTACAAGATGACACAATCTTGTAACACAGTCCTTACTGCACACTGACCAGCAAACTTGGCACACCCTCACACAGTGCACAGCAGCTACTGGAGGAGGAGGAGTGTGTTTATTGTTGTAACCATGTGGAGAAGACACTGACCAGACTTTCAGGATCGACTCTGGATCAAACTGATATGGCAGAATCGATGCTGCTGGACAAAGAGCCACAGTGGAGTTTACAGCTGCTCAGGAGAGAAGGGTCTGTCTACAGACTGCAAGACAGGGGCGGAACGTGTAGGAGCAGAACCCCTTTAGCGGTTGACCAATCAGAACAGAGTGGGCAAGATGATCAATCAGAGCACACTGGGCTCATCAGGAGGCAGGGGTTAAAGACATAGGATGTAAATCCATTCTAGTAGAGCCCAAAAATAAAATTATGAACATTGGAAATGAGCATAATAGGTCCTCTCAGTGTTGGGGTTGCTACTCAAAATAACCCATTACAAATTACTAATTTCTTCCGTCTAACTGTAACAGGATCACTTGTTATGATTAATTCCTGGGAATAGTAATCTCACTACTCATTACTTCTGATGTACTCTCTAAAGCCCAAACACATCTGTACCAACTGTACAAACCCAACAGTCCTTCCAGCACTTTATATATAATCTAACAGCCTTTCACAATAAACATCATTTAAAAGGCCTGACTGTATTCCTGCTTTTGAGCAAGACACAGTCAGTTACTGAATAAAATAATGACCTTGGCCAGCTGTTTGGAAAATAAGATGCTGTTCAGTAGAAACAGTCATAAAACAGCTGTAATCAGCTCTTTGTGAGTAAAGTTTAAATTTTTTTAGGGCTGCCTGTGAATGTAAATGGAATCAGTTTTGTATTAACATGATTAGATGATCAAACAGATGGTTGGCTGAGTTTATGGAGCTTCTGTCGCTTGCGCTGCGCTGTTCACATTCACAACATATAATTAATATATGATTTAAATACATCTCACAGAAATGGGCATGCTGAGGGGGCTGTAGCACCCCCTAATTTCAGGACTGCAACTGCTAAAAACAATAATATAATACAGAGATCTTAACTTTTTATTCATGTGAGTGAAGCGAAGACCCATGTGTGCTTGTTTTCAAGAGGAGTTTTAGAGTTTGAGTTTTTCTTTTTTATTTATATATTTTCAAAACCTGCAGTTTAGGTTAATACCCTACTTTTATTAAAGTGGGCTTAATCTTTTCCCTCAAGAACTGCTGGCCACTTTGGAGGCACATCACTTAAATACATATAGGTTGAGATGCAAAAAGAGAAAGTGTGTTCAGAGGCAGAGGCTAGTTCTGGACCCCAAAAGCAGCTCAACCCTGTTTTTAAACTAAGAAAAAATTTAAGAATCATCTAACCTTATAATAACGTTTTATCAGTGGGAGTTAAATCTCAGTACGTGACTGTGAGCGTGACACAATCAATTACCACATCACATATCAACAATCTGATTGGTTGCTGTTCAGTTAATTTGCATAAAGTTTGTCTACACTGAGAGAGCAGAGAGATGATGTAACCTCTCTTTTTCAAACACAATGTGTCATAATGCACCATAATGAGGCGAGAGACACATTGTCGTCTCTCGCCTCATTATGGTGCATTATGACACATTGTGTTTGATGTAAGGTACCAAAAAGATTCAAATGGAAAAAAGACAAATAATTTAGCATGATGTCATCATTCATGTCACATATATGCTGCTTAAAAATTCAGCATTACTAACTTACACACCTTCTTGCATCCCTGCGAGTAACATAACTCTTATTAATAACTGTAATGTGGTTAAAAGAATTTACACTGTACTATATTGCAATACTTACTGGAAAAAGTTATTACATTACTGTAATGCATTACTTTGTACTGCGTTACCCAAACACTATCCCTATCGCAGTGGGTTCTATCATGAGGAAATGAGGCCGTAAGAGAACCGGTCAGTGCAGGGCCAGACATGGGTTGCCATGGCCCAACCCATTTTGTTAACACACATACAGTACTATACAAAAATGTTTTAAAATTCCTCCATAATTCAGTGTTTGATATGTAAACAGTCATTCAGAGTGGTTTGGTAGAAATGGTTGATTGTAGGTACTCAGATGTCTTTACAGTGGTGGTGATAGGAACCAGAGGTCACCTTGACTACAACACAAATAGCCATTTTATTTATTATCCAGAACTACCAGTGAACATACATGCATCTTCTTAGTTTAATATGGAATGTTGATGATGGTAAAAAAGTTGGAAACTCTGACAGTAATAAGTTTTCTTTGGGGACTTTTCTGCCTCACAACTTCCTACGTTATGTATCCCTCCACCATAAATAGACTTTAAGGCCAAAATATTCTCCAAACTATTGTAAAACAATGTCTCAGACATCAGGCAGTGTATTCTTAACCATTTCATGTAGTAACCCAGATAGCAATGAAATTTTGGCCCAAATGTGGCCCACATCTGCAGTTCTCTTATGGCCCACATTTGCCCTTGATGTACGGCATTGACTCAGGGTGAGTCTGGCTGCCTCAACTCAGCCACAGGTCCACCAAACATGGGCCAAATCTGGGCCAAATCAATTTACCATATGCTCACCTTACATGGGCCATGTCTGGGCCAAATCCAGACCAAATAAATTTACCATATGCTCACCTTATATGGGCCATGCCTGGGGCAAATCAGGGCCAAAGCACTTAACCTCAGCTTCACTTTATATGGGCCAGATGTCATGTGTTGTGGACCAGATCCGGGCCAAATTAAATTTACCATATGCTCACCTTACATGGGCCAGGTCAGGGCCAAATCAGGGCCAAAGAACTTAATCTCAGCTTAATCAAAAATGGGCCAGATGTGTGCCAGATCAGGGTCATACCATACACTTACCCTACATCGGCCATGTTATGGGCCAGATGAAAGTACCATGTTATGGGCTGTACGTCAGGCACCGCAGCCGGCATTTCAACTTTTATTTATGGTTGAGTCAATGTTGTGAATCAAGGTTAAATCACCTTTTAATTTTTGGTCGTTTTTCAAAAGTGAATCAACATAGGTGGACATAGCATAACAATCAACAGTTTGCTGCAGTTTTCAGACCATGATGTGCATTATCATTTATTAAGCCAGTATATACTGTATTACTTTGTAAAAGTCACCGCATGCATACATGAATTTCAATGACAACACTAGAAATCATTTGGAAACAACAGCTTTAACTTGCACAGACGAAATGGGTGGAATAGCAAGTACATAGTATATATACCATATACCAAGTATATATACCATATACCAATAAACAGTTAAAGAAAAATACACAATAAAAGTCGAGTGTGCGGTACACCATTGTGCTTGATTACGTGTATACACTCATTGGCCACTTTATGTATAGCTACCCTGGATTTAAACTCACTGTCCATTTTATCAGCTCCACTTACTATATAGGTGCACTTTGTAATTCTACAATTACAGATTGTAGTCCATCTGTTTCTCTGCATACTTTCTTACCCTGTACTTCAATGGTCATGACCCTCACAGAGCAGGCATTATTTGGGTAGTGGGTCACTCTCAGCACTGCAGTGACGCTGACATAGTAATATGTGTGGTGCTGCACAGAGTCACACCGTAGTGTTACTTGAGTCTTTAAACACTTAAGACACTTAACAGCACCCTGTAGGCACTGATGAAGGACTGAAAATAACAAATTGGGCAGTAACAGATGATCTTACATTTCTAACTTTACCTCTAAAAGGACTAACAAGGCAGGTATGTAATTGGACACAGTGGAGTGGACACAGTGTTTTAAAACTCCAGCAGCACTACTGTGTCTGATCCAGTTGTACCAATACAACCCTCAATAACATACCACTACCATGTCAATATCACTGCAGTGCTGAGAAGGAAACCACCTCCCAAATGATACCTATTCTGTGGTCCAGTGAATTGATGAAGGAGTAAACAAATTATGCTGAGAAACAGATGGACTACAATCCCTTATACATTGTCTGCGCAGAATACAGTTCTCTGCTCCAAGTGACGGGCTAAAGGAGCCTCTTTTTTTGCCACTTTACCCGTTCCACCTTAAATGGTGCAGCAGGCCTCCCAAGTAGAAAATCACTTCCTGACCTCCCTCTGCAGTTCGCGCCACAGCAACGCAGTGACGTGGTCATATGCAAACAGACTTAACTAGTTAAACTAATTTAGGTGTAAAAAGTGTCCAGTGAGTGTATACATAGAGCATGTGTGAGAGAGAGAGAGGCAGACAGAGAACAAACATCTGATCCCTACCCTTCAATGTTAAATATACTCGGCACTTAACAGATGTGGAGGTCTCTTGTCAATTTTATTGTCACCGCCAGCTTGTGATTGTGGATTCTTCAAGGCTACATCTAAAATAAAAAATAAGCAAAATTAGTAATAAACACTCACGAGATAAATGAGAGTTAGCTTATAAATGATCCTAAAAGAACAGCAGCCAGTACAAAAAAGCAAAGCAGGTGAGCAGTTGTTTCAAATACATAATGCTCTTAGTAAAACATTACTTAATTAATATTAAGAGTATTAAATCAGTATTTGTACAAGTTTTTAAATTACTTGCGTATCAGAAGGAATAACTGGAAGTTAATATAAAAGTCATCATTTTATTGTCGTTAAAATCTCTTACATTATTTTGTGAGAGCAAACAATTAAAACAGTGACTCGCTAGTTTAGCATAGCAGACAGGGGTTAACTAGCTAACCTAGCTAGCTAACTGTTAGCAATTGATGCTTATTTTCGTTTTAACATATAAACAGTCTGATACTAACAAATTAGCTATGGGACCACATTCAAGTAAATGCGTGACTGAAAACTGTTGGTACGTCAAATAAACTAAGCATTACTTACCAAATGCGTTTTGAAACCTCCCGAAGTTTCCAGAAGCAGCTCTGAGCGCCGTTCTCGCCCCGTTGAACGTTGATGACTCATTCAGCGCATGCGCACTCGGCCCGCCTCAAAAGAGGTGGAGTCTAGCCGCCTAAATATGGGTGGGCTTGGAAAAACGCTTAAATTTAATGTATACTCATCATTTATCATTTTTAACTTGATATAAATGTTCAGTTTGTGATACAAATTGCATTTCACCATCATATTTGCTTAATTTTCTTCATAAACTTCACTTTCTAGATATTGTTGTTCTTGTTTTCCATTTATAATATATGAATTTAGATTTCTGAAGTAGTTTCATGATCAAAAATAATAAAATGCTAAAAAAATAATAATTATGGTCATATTTATAATGCAAACGTTGAAGTTAAAATTGTGATGTTGATTTATAAGTATTTAGTTAAACTTTTCAGAACCATTTAACATTGAACATTGTTTCAGCATTTTATCAACATTGAAACTGACATTTTTTCAACAATATTTCAATGTTGAAGGTCGGTCAGGTGCCCAGTGGAATGTTGCAAGTCAGGTATACCAAGTATATCCCATAGGTATGTACCAAAAGAGTGCCAGAGGAATTCAGTTCAGCTCAGGACCCAAAAATGGATAACATGTTCATGTTATATGGACCAGGACATTTTATCACAGGTCCACTTTAGATGAGTTAGATAAACACCAAAACAATTTAGCAGATCTGCATTACCAGCACATCACCCCTAATCCTCATCCTGCCTCAAACCACCTAAAACCTAGTAATAGAGCTGTTCTACATAGTAATAGACAAATACTGCTTTTGCCAATTATTTCAATTTATTAAGGTCAAATGATAAAATCAATATGCACATCCAAAATAATGTCATCCTTAACTGGGCCATATTTGGCCTACAATCTGTCTGTATAAATGAAAGCCATTGTATAAAAATGATTTTTGAAATGGAACTTCAAAGTTTACAGAGAGGATGATCTAATTTTCTCTGTGTGGCACCTTGACAGCAAAAGTACAATCACCTTTCATTTTCATCATGGATGTGGGGATGGTAAGCAGTGTGAGGCAAGAGGATCATTTGGCCCAAGTCTGGCCCACACAACGCATGCCGTAACCCAAGTCTAGCCTGGCTCAGGACATTTGGCCTAATTCTGGCCCACACAACACATGCCATAACCCAGGTCAAGCCTGGCTCAGGACATTTGGCCCAATTCTGGCCCACACAACACATGCCGTAACCCAAGTCTAGCCCGGCTTGTGATATTCGGCCCAAGTCTGGCCCACACAACACGTGCCATAACCCAGGTCTAGACCGGCTCCTGACATTTGGCCCAAGTCTGGCCCACACAACACGTGCCGTAACCCAGGTCTAGCCCAGCTCCTGACATTTGGCCCAAGTCTGGCCCACACAACACATGCCGTAACCCAAGTCTAGCCCGGCTCATGACATTTGGCCCACGTCTGGCCCACACAACACGTGCCGTAACCCAAGTCTAGCCCGGCTCATGACATTTGGCCCACGTCCAGCCCATGCAACACTTGCCAGTGCCGTAACTGAGCCGTAAGAGCCGAAAGTGGCACAGATTAGGCCCAAATGTGCCTGCTATCTGGAAACTTTCTGTGAGGGAGCTTTTAGAGGTGGACATCTGGTTCCTGTCACCACCACTATGAACAATTCTGACTCTCTACAATGGAGCATTTCACACTATATAATTCTAAATGATTTTGATGACTGAATTATATTGATGTTTCGAAAATCCCCTTTTCAAAAAAAAGCCTTACTTTTTACTCTATTCATGCTTATTTGTAATTATTCTAATGTTGTTTACAGGCAAAAACACATTTACTGCCCAGACAAACAATTTTAAACCATTTCCGAGGCTCTCTAAGGCTTTTGCAGAACTGTGTACAATACAGCAATTTGCAAGATGCTTATAAGACATATTACTACCTTGATTCAAAGTGATCCCTTTCTGCTTTTCTCTCTTTCACATTGTCTCTATCAATCTACCTCTCTTTTTCTTTCTCTTTCTCTCATAGCTCACTTTCTGGATGGTAAAATCAAAGGTACTGTGTCCCCTTTTATCACCGTGTTGCCTGAGTGTATCTAATGAATCTGTGTTTTTCCTTTCACCCTTTTTGCTCTCAGATTTCTTTGGGTAACTTTATCTCAGGTTATCTGAGAGAGGTTGAAATGATCGTCACGCTCGGAAGCCGTTTCTCGCCATTGACTTCCACTTTCCCTGCCCTCTCTATGATCTCGATTTTGAACAAAGCAATGCAAATATCACCAAATGTCATATTTACTGGAGCGAGGTTGAGCCTGTGCGTATAATTTGGTGCCCCCGGAGGAGGTGTATGTGTGTACACGTGCTTCCTGCGCTACATCTGAACCTTTTTAATTCTTTTTTTTTTGTTTGTTTAATTTCCTGGATTGTCTCTTCGTGATAGCAGACTGGATAGGATACAGAGGTAACGGTTGTGCTGGCCTGAGGAGAGCATGTGGCTCTAGTCCCCCTCACCACTGCCCCCAAAGCATGACACTCATTGTCTATGCATACTGTCTATTACTGTCTATTACTGTCCATGTGCACAGCTTTCCTATGGTTGGTTGTATGTAACCATTGGTCACCATGGTGCAAAATTACATATGCACACATATGCAAATGACCATGCATAAACATAAACATGCAAACACATGCAACCTACATGCACACTCATGCACCGGCGGGAAACCCTCCGGGCCTTCTAGGCCTTCAGAGACGGCCAAATGATTTCTGGGAGCTAAAAATACATTTTTATTTAACAATTTAAGATTTATCATTCATCAAGTAATGGCATCATTCTTGTAGCAATTACTTGGTAATTAGCGTCCTACTTTATTAAGCAGTAACTACACTCTTAAAAAAGATGGTTCTTTAAGGATTCTTTAGTAAAAAAAGTTCTGTGCAGAACATTGAACACTCAAAGAATTCTTTGCATGATTAAAGGGTTCTTTGCATCATGAAAGGGTTCATCAGATTGAATGGGAATGTGCTGTACACAGTTCTGTATAGAGCCTTTTTGAAAATGGTTTTAGATAGCACTTAAACTGGTTCTTCTATTGTTGTGGTGTGAAGCTTGTATCAATAGAAGAACCCTTTTGGGTGCTATATGGAACTATTTTCAAAAAGGTTATATATAGAACCATCTGTAACACATTCATCCACATTTTCCATAAGTCTAAAGATCTTTTATGATGCAAAAAGTCCTTTAATCATGTAAAGGGTTCTTTGAATGTTCATGGCTCTATACAGAACCATTTTCTTTACTAAAGAACCCTTGAAGCACCATCTTTTTTAAGAGTGTAGAGTGACATAAGCTTGACCAGAGCACTTTTATTTGTGTATTATACATCATAATCTTTGCACGACAAATTAAGTGTCCATTATTAAGCCCTTATTAGGTCTAATCAAACAAGTAAACTAAATTCTCAAGAATTACCAGTTATGCCCTTAAAATCTCAGGCTTATTACATACTAAGGCTTATTATACAATAAATACAAGGACTTAAATGAGCTTTTCTTAGTTTTTAGAAGTGTGTAATTAAAGGCCTTGGCCATTTTGACGGTTAACCAATTACTTTTTTTTCAAACATTATTTAACAGAAACTAGGATAATTAAGAATCTTCAAGAGAGTTTGTGATGTTCTTATCAAGCCAGCAGTTGGCAAATAACTGTCTGCTCATTCCTACATTATTAATTAGTGACTACAGTGCATTAAGCATTTTCTAGAGCATTTTATTTGTGAATATAGGGCAGTTTTTCTTTATAATCTTAAAGTGATCTGCCTATAATTGTGTGGGACAGAAACATCAAAGTGGGAGAGCATTAAGACTCTGTATGACATTATATTGTATGGTATATAGGTTGCTGCTTTAAATTTAAAATGTGCTTACTTTACGAAGAAAAAGGTCTTACAAATATGGGACTGAGACTATTATTTTTGTGGTGTGTGGTGCTGAAGTGTTTGAGTCTCAATACTTGTCTTTAACTTGTCTGTTATCTACAGTACTAGATAATACACAAAGTGCTCTGTAAAATGCTTAATTCACTCTAGTTACTGCATAATAAAGTAGTAATAAGCAGCCAGATCATTAGTAATAATTGGCTTGATAAGTTACTTACCACCTAAGTTTATAAGGTTTAATAATAATGAAAGAAAAGCGCTCTGGAACATGCTTGTTTCATCCTAGTTATTGCTGAACATGGTATATAGTATATGTATATGTGTATGTTAATAATAAATAGTAGTATAAGCTGTCTTTTAATTATTGATTATTGGCTTGTTAATGCTAAATAAGCAGATTTCTTGATGATGCTTTATGATATCTCCCTACATTGAAGTGTTAGCAATCAACCAATTACTCCAGGCCTTCTAAATACATTCTAGATGCTTTAAAAACATCACTGATACAAGCTGTACTCTAAGCAGGTTTGGGTTAGTTGTTTCTGAATGGGAAACAATGGCGGCAGCTCTATGCCAGAACCCTTTACTATAAGTATCACTGTAAAACTAATATATGCGAGGTAAAAATATATGTCTGTTGCAAGCTTCAAATGTCCATGTTTAATCAACAATGGGCGAAAAATGTACACAGGCATTAGCTTAGCACTAGCATTATATTAGAAATTCTATAAACATGCAGGTTTTTTGACAAGGTTTTAATATGTATGGCCCAAACTGAAGGCCTAGCTCTAAAGGTCACACCACTGAACACATAAATACTCAGCCACACGTAAGTAGATATGCTTAAATATAAACATGCACAAATGTGAACAAATACACATGTACTCATAAACCTATTCAAGTTGACATGTGCAGGCCCCCACACATGCACACATGCATGCATAAACCCCTACAGTCATGCACACATACACTGAGTTGCCAGTTAATTAGGGTCACCTACCTTGTGGCTACACTCACTGGCCATTTTATCAGAAACACCTCACATATAGGTGCCCTGTGTGAGCAAACACAACACTCATGCACTCACATACACACTCACAAGAACATAAGCACTCAGGCACACGAAGGCCACCACTGTCCGAGATTTTCACTGTCTTGTGTTCCTCACTTTGTCTCTCTCTTATCTCCTGGTTTTGACGTAATATTGAACAGTTGCTAAGCTTCCTTAGTTTAGCAATTCCTTTTTCTGACTTCAGCCAGTCTCTGATAAAGGAGATGATAGCACTGGAGTAACCAAACATGTCTGACCCAAATCTTCCCTCTATTTGTTCTGAATGAGCTGTGAATTCACATGGATTCACATCACATTTGAGTTATAATAAAATAGTGAGCAATTATGTCTATGAAGAAATGGGACTGATTAACCAACTGAATCAATTGAGAAATTGTATATATTGAGAAACTGGATCATTTGAGAGATTTGTTTTATTGAGAAACTGGTACTATTGAGAAAGCAAATCCACTGGGAAATTAGGTTTATTGAAAATTTTATATGTTAAGACAGTGAAACTATTAAAAACTGGATTGAATTTATTGATAAATTGGGTTTATTAAGAAAGTAGCACTGTTGAGAAAGTGCATATATTGAGAAATTGGGTCTATTAAGCAATCTGATCAACTGAGAAATAGAATTTACTTAAAAATTCATTCTGGTGACAAATTCGAAATTAGATGTATTGAGAAATTTGGTCTATTGAAAATTACATGGATCAGGCGTAACATTATGACCACCTCCTTGTTTTTAAGCTCATTGTCCATTTTATCAGCTCCACTTACTATATAGGTGCACTTTGTAGTTCTACAAATACAGACTGTAGTCCATCTGTTTCTCTGCATACTTTGTTATCCTTCATCCTCTAGTCCTTCATCAGTGGTCACAGGACGCTGCCCACAGGACGCTGTTGGCTGCATATTTTTGGTTGGTGGACTATTCTTAGTCCAGCAGTGACACTGAGCTGTTTAAAAACTCCAGCAGCGCTGCTGTGTCTGATCCACTCAGACCAGCGCAACACACACTAACACACCACCACCATGTCAGTGTTACTGCAGTGCTGAGAATGATCCAACACCCAAATAGTACCTGCTCTGTGAGGGTCCATTGGGGTCCTGACCACTGAAGAACAGATTAAAAAGGGGCTAACAAAGTATGCAGAGAAACAGATGGACTACAGTCTGTAATTGTAGAACTACAAAGTGCACCTATATAGTAAGTGGAGCTGATAAAATGGAAAATGAGCGTAGAAACAATGAGGTGGTCATAATGTTATGCCTGATCGGTGTATGTCTAAAGAGAAATCGCATGTATTGGGAAATTCGATCTATTGAGAAATTTGATTTGTAGAGAAGTTGAGTCTATTGAGAGATTTGGATTTATTGATAAGTTGGGTTTATTGAGAAACTGAGTCTGTTAAAAGTTTGGATCTATTGAGATATGGGATCTATTGATACATATTCCAGAAAGAGCAAAACATCACCATGCTTATTCTAATATGAATGTATAAACTATGGTTTCATGTGAAATTACAGCTCTTTTCCTATGTCCCGTCTGATGTCTCTGAAATGTAAAAGTTTCAGACATTTGATTGACTGAGACACATTCCCCATGTTATCCCTCTTTGTCTGAGATGTGACTTGTGCATTAGTACTTGACCCCTGTGTTGGGTCGCTGGCTTGCTGGTGTTTGTGACTGCTGAATTTGTCCCGGTAGACAGCTGTCCCGGCCTGTGTAACAACAACGGCAGGTGTGTCCTGGACCAGAACGGCTGGCACTGTCTTTGCCAGTCAGGATGGAGAGGGGCGGGGTGTGACGTTGCCATGGAAACGCTCTGCTCTGACGGCAAGGACAACGAAGGAGGTGAGAATTAGTTTGATTAACTAGGGAATACAGTGCAAATGAATGTATCTTGGTTCAATGCAGTAATTTTGTAAAATATTCTTGATCTAAGTTGCTTATGCTTGGATGGTCCCTTGGATGGAAAACTTTTTAACTTTTTCTTTGTTTGTTTGTATTTTATTCATTTACACCATTGGAAATCCCAGATGCCCTTAGCATTGTGTTCCATGATGAATGGGGCAAAATTTGCATTATTAGTTTTTTTGCTTCTCTGAGAAAGTTACAGTTTTAGATATACCAGGATTTCAAAATGCTGGTGCAACAGCAGAGTTAGATTAAGGTTATAGTAGTCTAGCAAGCCAGATTTCTGGGTATCAGCAGAAAGTTTGGAAGTTTTCATTTCTTTGGTTGGCCAAGAACTGCCTACTTTTGCAGAAGGGGCTGTGTGACTGACATGCAAATCAACCAATCTCAACCCATTCTTTTGGCATGAAATATAGTTGTAGGCAAATTGCAGAGGTGATACAAAAAAAACACACCTGTGGGAAATCTGCTGGCAATGTACAGCTATAATCTTGTCAGTGATTTAAATAAATCATCCAAATAACTTTTCAAAATGAAAGATCATGAGTTTGTTTTTTAATCTAGTGATTGTGCTCTGAAAGACTTGCTAAAGAAAAGGCAACAGCCTGCAGCTGAAGCATATTTCTCAAGTCAAAACAGAAGTCCAGGGTGCTTATATGAAACTGCAGCAGATGTTATTTAAACATTGTTACTGTGGTTTCCTGCTGTTTCTACAGATGGCCTGCTGGACTGTATGGATCCAGATTGTTGCCTGCAGAGTTCTTGTCAGGATCAGCCTTACTGCAAAGGGGCACCAGACCCCACCACGGCCCAACAAAACCCCCAGACCTCTTCCACTCCACCCACCCTGGCCTTCTACCAGCGGGTCAGCTTCCTTGTGGCTCCAGGAGGAACTCATCGGCTTCCTGGAGAAAACCCGTTCAACAGCAGGTCAGCTGAGCTTCATCACTAATGGAGAACTAAAAGTGAAAATATAGGAGATGTCCAAAATAACGGAAACATGACATGTAGTACTCATACACATTGGCCATTTTATCAGAAACACCAACCATATACAGTGGCATGCAATAGTTTGGGCACCCATGGTCAAATTTTCTGTGACTGTGAATAGTGAAGTCAGTAGAAGATAAACTGATCTCCAAAAGGCATAAAGTTAAAGACGACAGATTGTTTTCAACATTTTAAGCAAGATTTGTGTTTTATTTTTGTTTTGTGCAATTTTAGAGTGAAAAAGGAAAAGATCACTATGCAAAAGTTTGGGCAGATTTGAGCTCTCAGATAACTTTTACCAATTTCTCAGACCTTAGCTTGTTAGGCCTATGGCTTGTTCGTTCACAGTCTTCGTTAGGAGAGACCAGGTGATGCAAATTTCAAAGCTTTATAAACACTCTGACTCCACAAACCTTGTCCCAACAACAAGCAGCCATGGGCTCTTCTAAGCAGCTGCCTAGCACTCTGAAAATTAAAGTAATTGATGCCCACAAAGCAGGAAAAGCCTGTAAGAATATAGCATTTTTATGTAGCAGTTTTCTCAGTTTGTAATGTAATTAAGAAATGGTAGTTAACAGGAACAGTGGAGGTCAAGTTGAGGTCTGGAAGACCAAGAAAACTTTCCAATAGAACTGCTCGTATGATTGCTAGAAAGGCAAATCAAACCCCCTGTTTGGCTGCAAAAGACCTTTAGGAAGATTTAGCAGACCCTAGAGATGCAGTGTTCTACTGAGCAGCAACACCTGCACAAACATGACCTTCATCAAAGAGTCATCAGAAGAAAACTTTTCCTGCATCCTCAGCACAAAATTCAGCATGAAAAATTTGGAAAGAAACATCTAAACAAGGCCTCTGCATTTTGGAAACAAGTCCCGTGGACTAATAAAGTTAAGATAGAACTTTTTGGCTGCAGTAAGCGAAGGTATGTTTGGAGAGAAAAGGGGTGCAGAATTAAATGAATAAGAACATCTCACCAACTTTTAAGCACAGGAGTGGAATGATCATGCTTTGGGCTTGTGCTGCAGCCAGTGGCACAGGGAACATTTCACTGGTAGAGGGAAGAATGAATTAAATTAAATACCAGCAAATTCTGGAAGCAAACATCACACCATCTGTAAAAAAGCTGAAGATGAAAACAGAATGGCTTCTACAACAGGATAATGATCCTAAACACACCTGAAAATGCATAGTAGACTACCTCAAGAGGCGCAAGCTGGAGGTTTTGCAATGACTCTCACAGTCTCCTAACCTAAACATCATCGAAATGTGTGGATCAAACTCAAAAGAGCAGTGCTTGTCAGACAACCCAACAATCTCACAGAAGCCTTTTGCAAGGAAGAATGGGCAAAACTCCACCAAACAAGAACTGAAAAGATCTGTGATGCTTGCCAAAAAGGTGGTGTTAATAAGTACTGACCATGCAGGGTGCCCAAACTTTTGGTTCAGGCCCTTTTTCTTTTTTGTTATTTTGAAACTGTAAAAAATGCGAATAAAAAAAGTAATCTTGCTTAAAGTATTCAAGAAATGTGTCATCTTTATGCCTTTTGAAAATCAGGGCATGTTTTACTATTCACAGTAACAGAAATTTTCACCAGGTGTGCTTAAACGTTTTCATGCCACTGCAGGTGCACTTTGTAGGTTTGCAGCCTCAGACCTCTATAGTGTTCCTGAGAGAATGACCAATAAGTATTTCATGTAATGTTTGTTATTTTGAGCACACACTTTTTTTCATAATATTAAAGACATTTTTTTCTAAAGGCTTATGCTTAAATGCTTGAAATTTGTTTGTAGCCTGTAGGAAGTTCATCCCGTGTGGCTCTTCATGAAACTCCTGAGAGGACGCCACGATCACTCCTTAAAACAGACCACTCTGTTAATCTGTATATACATTATTTTACAGTTTTTGATGACTGCTTTTCTAAAATGTGGGAAACAGTAGAATGTCCTTTCAGCTGTGTGCTGTTGGCTGAACCTGTACATTTAGTATCAGCATGCAGGTGCAGTTCACTACGTTTATCATCGGCATCCTGCTACACATTAGTGTGAGGGCTGATGTTCAGGGATGTGTGAGGTTAGTTTGGGATAAAAATGAAGAGCAAAGCACTGTTCGGAAGTTGTTTTAGAGCTTTGAGGTTTGTATGGGCATTTTGAGAGGTTCAGACAGATTGTGTAACCCTGAAAAGTCTAGAGTCATTTTGCTCAGCGTTTGATTTACATTATTTATGTTATGAATTACATTTACATTTCATTAACATTCTGTAAGGACAGGATGGAGTCTGCACTTCTGAATTTTGTTCATTTCAATGTTTTCAGCCAAAATTGTAAAAAGATGGCACTTTCAGTTTGCAACCAAAAGAGGAAAAATGGAAGAAAATCTAGACCAGGGTTATTGTAGTTTTTAAATTTGAATTAATTTACATTTTTATTTAGTTATTTAGTCTTTCATTTTGATTTTAGATTTCAGTTTAGTTTCAGGTAGCTGTGAGGGTGCATTAATAATTTTAGTCTAGGTTTTATTTTCTGAAAAGTAGTAGTTTTTAGTTAGTTCCAGTTTTAGTTTTAGTTTCAGTTTTTAGTGTTATGATGAAGGCTGTGATAGCAGGTATTTGATAAGAATAGAAAAAACTAAAGCAGCAATAGGCTGAGCTCAGCTTGGCTCCAGCTTTCCTTAAAGACCAAAGGCAAAAACATACTTTTCAACTCTCATTCACACTTAAAAAACTAAAACGAAAGTTTTTTTTTCTTTCTAAAGAAAAAAACTAATACATTCCATTTTGTATTAGTTAGTTTTGCAGTGGACATTATAGTATTGATTTAGTTTTTTTGTTTTGAAAAACTGGTTTAGTTTTTTTACATTTTTCATTTCTAGTTTTTTTAGTCATAGTTTTAGCGAAATATAATAACCCTGATTTAGACCAAAACAACATTTTAAGTAGCCGTACTATAAAATGTTAAAACCTAACACTTTAATTTAGCTAAAAAATGAGAAATAGTGATTATTACTTGTTTGTTTTCCTCGCTCTTCTACACCGGTTAACACAATCTGCTGATTAAACAGTTTGATCAGCAGATTAACAGTGAAAATATTGGCCATGCGGAACTATTTCACAATTTCTACGAGGAACGTTAGGCATGAGAATTATAATCTCTTTTTATACAGAGCATTAAGACGCCCAAGATCTTCTCCACTGCATCTCTGATAGCTCCTGAAAACACAACTACACAGAACAACAGAAGCAGAAAGGAAAGTTTCTGTGAGCACATCGACACCATCTATACACTCAGTTTTAAAAATTGCTAAAAAAGTCTAAAATCTTTGCAAAGAACAACTATAAAATGATGGAATTCATTGCTTTGGGTGGCTGACTGTTCTTGGTTGTCTAAGATGCTGGATTTTGTGGCACATTATGTAGCCTCTGTAATAATTTTAGTACATTTGTTTTATGTAAGTTGTTTTATTTATTGTCAGCTCTTCTCTGGGTCGTGCTGATTAAATGCATTTGTGAAGCGATGGTGACTGACATTGTATTTGGTGCCTTTTACAGACTGACTGACCGTGATTTTTTTTTCTTTTTCTGAAGTTGTCACAATGTCTTTTACCTGAGTTGTGACTGAAGTGTTTTGTGTTCTATCTATTTTTGTTCTACCTGCGCTGGTGACCTTGACGCTGTTTGATGTTGCAGTGCTGTTGTTCCCTGTGGGTACTGGATCTGTGAGGGGAACAGAGGGACGTATCTGTTCAGCTGAACAGCATAAACAACACAGCATTGTCACAGCTCCTGGACTCTGATATTGTTTCTTTGCACGTTTGGTCTCACAGGTCATGGTCAGTTATCTTCTTGTAGAAAAAGGAAAGAGTGACAGATAGATGGCCGAGTGGTCACATGATATGGTGCAGTGCCAATGTTTGTATCCTTGCAGCAGGTAGTATTAGGCGGTATTGTAGTGAAGCCCATTAGAGATTAAACTGTGTTAAGACCAAGAACTGGACACATCGAGACCAGCACCATAAGAATGCAAGTCAAGAAAAATTGAAAAAAAAAGCTTGAAATGTGTTTGTAGTTAATATTACCCTTATTATATATGATACATACCGCAATACTGCATCAAAACAATGAATGGTCACATAAACTGAGTCTGTTCTACAGTTTCTCATTAGATTGAATGAATAACTGCCTCTAAATGTAGGTATTGTGATATAAACTGAGTCTGTTCTACAGTTTCTCATTAGGTAGAATGAATAACCAGCTCTAAATGTAGGTATTGTGATATAAACTGAGTCTGTTCTACAGTTTCTCATTAGGTTGAATGAATAACTGGCTCTAAATGTAGGTATTGTGATATAAACTGAGTCTGTTCTACAGTTTCTCATTAGGTTGAATGTATAACTGGCTCTAAATGTAGGTATTGTGATAAAAACTGAGTCTGTTCTACAGTTTCTCATTAGGTTGAATGAATAACTGGCTCTAAATGTAGGTATTGTGATATAAACTGAGTCTGTTCTGCAGTTTCTCATTAGGTTGAATGTATAACTGGCTCTAAATGTAGGTATTGTGATAATAACTGAGTCTGTTCTACAGTTTCTCATTAGGTAGAATGAATAACTGGCTCTAAATGTACACTACAGCCACACAACAGTAGCATATATGTGGGCAGATCATGGATAGGTCAATAGAAAGAGTTCTGAAAGTTTTCCAGAAAGTGACCTCTTCCTGGCTGTCTAACTGCTGAAACAATAGAAATAAAATTAGCGGGTAGTGCTAAGCTTTTGATTAAGCCTTGATGAGGAAGAACATTCTCCACCCAGACACTCCTGTTGTTCACATATTCAGAAATTATCCTGCAATTAGCTGGCAGCTAAAAGATTGCAGGTCGGCTGCTAAATGGCGCTTGGTGGAATAATTTGCTGTAATTGTCCATGTCCATTGTCCAACCAGTTGACTCTCATAGAGGGCAAGTGGATGAGAGGAGACAGAAAAGTCAAGTTTTATACTGATGAGTCTTCAAGCAATAGTTCAGCAAAATTTACACGGTTTTACACAGTTTATCCACCTTACCCCAAATATCCATCAGCAAAGGTCTGTTTGGTGTCTGAAATTTGCTTCTTTAGTTTTAGCACTGGAGTGGCTTACTATGCCTATTAGAGCTAGGCCTTGATCAAAAATGAGGAAAAACACCTCTATGATAGTTTTACTTTTTTTTTAGCTCCCCTTCAGATTTTAGTAGTATTTTAATGCTAAGCAAACAGCTACATTTCTTGGCTGTTCTATATTAAACACAGAAATCTGAAGCTTGTAACAGACATTATCATATATTTGAACTGATATGCATCAGTGTCTGTGTTTACATGCAGAGATTTTTGCCAATTCAATTGAATGCATTTAAGACTGAGGTGTTTATGTGCACACTGTCCTGAACAATTTGATGGATAACCTGCATTTACATTTGCACCACAAGTAATCCAATCCAAAATGACATGCATGAGTAGAGAACAGCTTAGCGTAGACAACGAGCATCACGTGAGTCCAGTCAGAGTGAGACGAGCAGCAGTGAGCAGTGCTTGTGTTTTTAATTCCTTTAAAATGATGTCAGACTCAGAAAAAAACGTACTTCACCTGTGCTTATTAAAGAAGGGCGAGAGGAAGACATTGTGTTCTGAGACACATAAGCTGGACACCCGTCCCACCGCCGTCTTTTAAAGCTCTAAGCTTAAACTTCATCTTTTCTGCAGACCAGTTTCTGCTTCCGCCATGTTGAACGTTATAAACTTTTGCTATGACACAAACGCACACGCGCAGAACGTACTTAAACTTCCCGATTGGGAATGTAATCAGATATAGGCATTTACCTATTTAACGGATTATTTACAGCATTACCCACTTCGTTCAATCCGATAGAAATTGTATTCCGAATGGACTAGTCTATTCTGATTGAGGGTTTACATGGACATATTCGATTCTGATTGAGCTATTAGTCAGATTGTTAAAAAATTATTAGGCTGCATGTAAATGTGTTACAGTGACTCTGACATTCCTGAAAACTAACCCCAACCTGCTTGGACTATGATTGTATTCACAGTCAGAGATGTATCTAGACCCTCAAGAAGGACTAGAGTTTTATTATGAAATTGGTTCTATTCCTTGTAAATCAAAACATGATTGGTTGATCCCTCTGTCGCTTTCTAATTATGTTGGTAGTTAATCTAGTGTGTTAGGCCTTCGGTTCAGCTCCTGAAGCCCTAGCCAATGGAACAGCTTGCTTGACTGTAACTACATAGATACCACAGAGAAACAATCCTAATTGGATAGCATTCTCTTGAGCATTTCAAGAACTTAATTCTTTTGTTTCCAACCAGAATTTGACAATGAAATAAGAGCACCGCTACAATACGTTACAAGCACGATGATTCTTTTTTATTTTTTATTTTAAACGAAGCCTTCTCTGAAGTTCCCCTCTGGTTCTAAGTAACAGAACTGTATGTACACCAATTAGCATGATGCTAACTGCATGCCTTAATCATCACATGCTGGTCTCAAGCTGTGTAAAGTTGTTCAGTATCTCTAATAGACTTGATTATGTGGTTTCTGACGCTGTAGGACACACATTTATCTATAAACATGGACCAAAGTACGAAAGTCAGGCTTGAACATCTCTGCTACTGTACCTGCATAACTACATTGGGTCTAGTGCTAAATTGAACACCAAACATGTCTTGGCTGATTGACTACATTAGAATGAGGGGAAAATTCTGTAAATTAGATCGTTTTTTCTTTCAGTTTTTCGTGCATAATGTCTGCGTGTGATTTTGGAGTGTGTTTTTGGGCTGTTTTTAAGCTGACAGACGTTAAGCCGCTTGCGAGCCTTGAGGATGGGATTAGCACTGTCTTTGTTCCTGGGAATGTTTGTTTACACCGAGTGTCTTTGTTTGTTGTTTGTTTCTCAGCCTGGTGTCGGTGGTGAGAGGTCAGGTGGTGACGGAAGATGGAACGCCGTTAATCGGAGTGAATGTGTCACTGCTGCATTACCCGCAACACGGCTACACCATCACAAGGCAGGACGGCATGTACGTATACAAACATGTGCACACACACCTGCAATTTACGTACTGTCACTGTCATAAAAAACCCATAGTTTAAAAAGCAAATCTATGGAAAATGGTATTAACACTTATTTAGTTCACCATTTAAACTCTAAAGGTTACCGTGTACCAGATGTGTCACTATTATTATTTTTATATTATTATTATTATTATTATTATTATTATCTATTGTATTAACACTTGTTTAGTTTACTCTTTAAACTCTAAAGGTTACCGTGTACCAGATGTGTCACTATTATTATTTTTTTATATTATTATTATTATTATTTTTATTATTGTTATTATTATTATCTATTGTATTACCACTTGTTTAGTTTACTCTTTAAACTCTAAAGATTACCATGTACCAGATGTGTCACTATTATTATTATTATTACTACTACTATCATTATTACGTGCTTTTAAGCCAATTCAGACTCCAGGTGACCATATGGACAGCATTTCTCCAGAATGTTCTTCTCTTCTGTGTGGGTCTTTAGGCTTCTGAATGGCTGGTTCATGATCCCTCTGTGCGTATAGAACCATAAACACTTAAAGAACCATTTGCATGCCTAAATTGTCCTTTGCATGCATATATATAGTATCAGTAAGGGTTCTGCTATTGGTATGATGTCAACCATGTAACAATAGCAGACATACAAACACCTATATAGCGCCAAAAATGGTCATTCCATTGTTCTAAACCCTTTTCAAGAGGCCATTTCACCATGCAAGGAAACATTGAAGCATGCAAATGGTTCTTTGAGCGTTCATGATTCTATATAGAACCAATGTCTTTACTAAAGAACCCTTGAAGAACTATCTTTTGTAGCTGTGTAGCAGTTTAGCTGGCCATTCTATTCCTATTTTACTTTCATCTCTTCCAAGCATAACTGTCGTTTCCAGTAAATGTGTCTAAAATAAGAGCTTCAGTTTGGTTATCTGGGCTTCAAGTAACAGATGAGTCTTCATTTGTTTGAAGATCAGTTTGTTTTCTTGACCATCCAGGGTTCTCTTAAAACCCTTCTCCAGCACCACATTTCAAAGGCATCTATAGTTTTCCTGTCTAGCTTGTTTATTGTCCAGCTTTCGCATCCAGAAAGAACCACAGAGAAGACCATAGCCTGGATTTCTGATTCTCATCTGCAGAGACACATTGTTGCATTTGAAGATCTTTTCAAGCTCCTTCATCCTTGTTCTCTCAAAAGCTGATCTGTAAGCTGGAAGCTTTCCATCATTTCCACATCTTCTACAAAACCAGTAAAGTTAGCAGTCTTTCTTGATGTCATAACTTTAGTCTTCTTCATACTGAAGTCTCATCTTTGCACTCTGTTCTTTAACCTTCCTTATAAAGGCCTTCAGATGTTTCAGATCTTCTGCTATGAGCGTTGTATCAAATGTATTTTGAATGGTTATTGATGTTTCTTCCACAATTCTTAAATCCTCGGTCATCTTCCTCCAGTCCTGCTTCTCTCATCATATGTTCTGCATACAAACTGAACATGTATGGTGATAGTGTGCAGCCTTGTCTAACTCCTTTGCCAATGAGGAACCATTCTGTTTGTCCCTTTTCTGTCATAACTGTGGCATATTGGGGTCAGTGTAGAGGTTCCTCATTAGAATGATAAGACACTCTGATTTTCCCTTTAAACCCTAAAGGTCACTGCATACTCGATGCATCACTTACCAGACAGGAATAAGTACAAATAGAATGTGTGGCATTGACCACACTGATAAACACCATGCTTAAAGAGGAAATCCACCCATTTTTCAAAATTTCCATATGATTCAAAGGTGTAAACGGAGTCAAGAGTCCTTCAGAGTGGTTCGGTGTGAAATAGTTGATGGCAGAGACTCAGATTTCTTTACAATGGTGGTGATAGGAACTTGGGGTCACCATGACTACAACACAAATATAGACATTTTATTTACTATCCAAAACCACCAGAGAACCTACATACACCAATCAGGCATAACATTATGACCTTCTTTCTATGCTCATTGTCCATTTTGTCAGCTCCACTTACTATATAGGTGCACTTTGTAGTTCTACTACGCTACTTATACAGCGTATCATTCTTGACCATGTGTTGCATTGACAAGCAGAGTTGTGGACTCGAGTCATGTGACTTGGACTCAAGTCCAACTCTAGTCATGAATTTGGTGACTTTAGACTCAAGAAAATCGAGAAAGACTTGGGACTTGACTTTGACTTTAACACGAGTGACTCGGACTCTGACTCGGACTCGAGCGCCATGACTCGGAAAGACTCGTGGAAGAAATGTGGAGTCTGACCGTAGATGACGCTCTATATAGTCGATTATTTTTCACAGCAACGTCATCAGATGTCTGTCACTGTGCTAATGGTCAGTTTTCGGAAGACAAGAGCAGTGTTAGAGCTCAAGTGCAGCATTCACCACGAAGCTGAAGTTGACTTTTTATTCACCAGCTTCATATTGGAATTGGTTGTTCCACCTTAAATGCTGCAGCAGCGAGGCGCCGGAACGTAACTGCTGCACCATTTAAGGTGGAACGGTAAATTCAAAAATGAAGCTGCTGGTGAATAAAGTCAACTTCAGCTTCGTACATTCACCATCATTTTACTGTCTTTTCTGTGAACTTTGTTCAGCTCGGTCATTTTGGTTTCTGTTGTCATCTAAATTCAGTTCAAACTAGTGGTTGTTTTTAGTTGGCTAACCTAGTCTTTCTTTTAATCCTGTGTGCCCAGTTCCTAAAAATCATCAAAAATTATCTTCAAATATAATATTATCTTCAAATATATGAATAAGTTCTTTTTTCATTAAGTTATTAAGTTTATTAAGTAGTACATTTTCTTTAAAAATTCTTTTCATATTTTTATATATGCACTACTCTTTGTGTATACCAGTATGCTTGTCATGGGTATCTGCCTACCATGGATTTTGTATTTTAGTTGGAAGGGTAAAAATAATTAATTGTGTATTATTATACAGCCACACACTGCTAATGTGCTGTAATTAAAAGGCTATAGTACTGTTACCATTATTCAGTTTTATGGCCATAAATTAGCTGACGAATCCAGACAGACTTGGTTAGGACTCAAATATTAGTACTATTGACTTGCATTTGAACTTGAGTGTGAAGACTTGAGACTTGTTCGTTACTTGCAGCTTAGTGACTTGTTCCCACCTTTGGTGAAAAGTACCAAACCCTCCACAGAAGTCTGGCTTGTGAGACTTGGTATCAGCGAACTCACTCTAGCTAAAAGATATGAGGTGAGGTTATGGTGACTGATAGTAACATTAGCTGAGATAAAAGATAATTAGCATTCATCTTTTTATCTTAAAGACTTTGGATTGGCTGCCTTTCTCTTGGTAAATTTTAAACCATTGTCACCGAATACACCTTCTTCAAAAACAATGGTTTCAAATTTTTAGATGAGGCACGATGTGCATTGGCCATTTGTGGGTCTGCACTTCAGGTGACCCTTTGTTATAGTCCTCCCCTGTAACTAGGCCAGGGCAGCTCTAACAGACTTTCAGAGCTTTATAATAAGGTGCTACATTGTGCTTCAAGTACTTCAAGATATCCCAAGAGTTTGGAGAGGAATTGAAATGGCTTTGACTGTAAAAATTGCAATTTTTCAAACTTCTGGTATGACTCTGCATCTTCTGACATTAAAAATAGCCTAATGTGACTGTTCCACTTTAAATATGGTTAGGAGAGCATAGAAAAGCTGAATAACAGACACAAGTGAATTTACATAGACACTGATGAACATCTCTTGCAGATATCAGCCCTGTGGCCACCGTTTGGATTTGTCTCAACAACATACATTAAAGTAGCAGAGTGAATCAATGAGTCAGAATTTAGCTGCCAGCACTCTTGTGGGTGGTGGGGGGGGGGCGGTTCTGAGTGACCTTGCTGTGTCGTTACAGCAGCCCCCTTTAGTCATTATCCAACACAACCAACCATCAACCACACCAGCACACACTGAAATCTCCCTCCTGAGGGGTGTGTGTGTGTCTGAGTGTGTGAGTGTGTGTGTGGTGTCTGCACATCACTGTGACGACTCAATTATCCCTCATCCCCGAAAAAACTGCCCTCTACTGTAAGCTACATGTTTGGATGAAAGTGGTGAAAGTTCAGGAGGGAATAACTGTCCTACATAAAGCATACTTACGTGTTTATAATGCACATGGGACTGACTGAGGAGATTAGATAAAAGATAATCCACTTGCATAAGGAAGGACAAAGTCAAAGTTAAAAACAGGAACAGAAAACAGGAGTTCAAAAAAATTATTAAAAGCTACAGAGAAAATGAGACTCCTAACAACCACCTGGAAGACCTGGTAGATTCCAAAACTGCCCCCATCAGATAAACAGCACTTAAAGCTTCATCTTTGAGAGAGAGGAGAAAATCAAGCTGCCTCAGATCTGAAAACATCCACAGGTGTTTCTGTCCATCCTTCCACTGTGAGAAGACAGCTCAGCGCTGTGGGTCTGAAAAGATGTGTAGCTGTCAAGAAGCCTCACTGAGAAAAGGAGACAGAAACATCAAACAAACAAGCTGAACAATGGACTGACCACCCCAGAGTCCAGACCTCAACATCACTGAATGTGTTTGGATTAGTTCAGAAAATGATCAACCAGCTTCTAAGACTGAACTTTGGAGGTGTGTCTGCAGATTTCTTTGAGAAACTGAAAGTGAGTCTCCTGAAAAGAATGGAAGCTGTAATAAAGGCAAAGAGTGACACACTAAACACTCAAACAGCTGATATTAGATTTAATTTTTGAGGATTTTGTGTAATTTTCTGTTAAATAAACAAGATTAAATTCTTAAATAAGTTTTATACTTTTTACACACACACACACACACACACACACACACACACTCACACACACATAGACTTATATATACACTTCAAAGTAGAGTGTGGTCTTGGTCTTGCTCAAAATGAAACACGCGGCGAGCAGCAGTCAGGCACGACTACGCAACAGCTGCACAGCAGGGGAGAGCCGGCTGGGTTTGTGTGATTAGCTTTATTTTTATTTTTAGTTTGGAGCTGAGAAGAGGAGAGTGTGTGTATTGGTGTGTGTGTGTGTGTGTATGTCTTTGTGGGGACAAACCAAATGTTCTCAGGATGCTGAGAGGAGAAGAGGGACATTTTAATGTTGAGGGGACATCTGGTTGGCCACTGTGTATGTGACCATGTATAAAGGGGGATTAGTCTATGTGCAGGAACACGGGTCTTCACTACCTAATGCAGAGTCTGTGACCTGAGTGTCCACTTGCCTTGGAATTTTTTTTTTCTCTATGAACAAACCACCAGACTAGTTGAATATCCACCATTATCCAACTGTGTAGTTTGAAGCAGAACAAATAGACATAGATTTAAAAACTGACCTCGACTAACGTGATGGCAAGTGAAAACTTCAACTCTTTCTACAGCATTTCTTTATAGCCTACCGTGATGCCTGGCTTATTAAATTATGGCCTTACTGTCAGTAGCAGTGCTGACAATAAAAAGAAAATTGGATAACAACGATAAGTATGGAAATAAATTAATTACAAAGTCCAGAGTCAAATGAATCTGCATTATGGAAGCACAAAAGCAGCTTTTAACACTAGTGCTATTATGGCACCCCAATTACAGCCATCCCAATAACAAGCTCTAAAGCCTGTTGAAGATAGAAGAAAGGTCAGCAGGATTGAAATGTAAATCTGTTTCACTGTTGTGGTTGACGACATAGGCATGTGTAGCCCCTTTTTTAAGTTAGCACTCCCAAAAAATATGAGTAAAAAGTCATTTTGTTTAAAAAAACAAAACAAAAAAAAAAAACAGAAGTTTGTCTCTGATAAGCAAATGTCCCCCGCCCCACTCTCCCCAAAGCCGTGCAATAGCTGGGCTGATTGCATGCGCACACACACACACACACACTCAGGGGCTCGCACACTAGAGCAAGTTACAGTGTGGTAAGTAGCACAGATAAGGAATTTCTCATTATTCAGCACCAATACATTACAGTCATTAGCGGCAGTCTTCATTTTTGCTGCACTGAATCACAGATCACTCTTTATGTTCTTATTGTTAGCTATCTGATGTTAATCTCACAAACTAATGTTGCAGCTTGTCAATCAACAACCGTCCACTGTTTGAATTTGAGTGAGAGAAGCTAGCCGTTGTGCCATTGGTAGGCCTATATGTTGATATTAAAGTCAAGGTGCTAGATTAGTACTGTCTGTATGCGTATCAGCTAATTAATGTTATGGAATCATAGAAGATATGATGAGAAAAAAAATGGATGGGCTGGTCTCATTGGGTGCTCAGCACCGCTAATGATGATCCTGTCGCACAATACCCTGATTTGTCTCGTACAATTGAAAAAAAAAAAAAAAGTCCAAAAACACCTGACTGTTTTTTGGTATTAAAGCATGCTTGTTAATTGTATATATAGCAGTAGGGAAATGTAATGCCTGTAATGTCATGTCTGTAAATTTTAGTTAATTTCTATTTGTTGTGGTGCTTGTTGTACTTTAAATCTATAAGTACTGTAGCAGTGCTCTTATTTCACTGTTAAATTTTGGGTTAAATTCTTGAGAAGCCCAAAAGCAAATTGTCCGATCAGGATTGTTTCTCTGTGGTATTTTGGCAGATACAGCCAAGTGAGATCTTCCATTGGTTAGGACTTCAGGAGCTGGACTGAAGGACTTACACATTAGATTAACTAACAACACAATTAGAAAGTGTTACAAGAATCAACCAGTTATGCATTGGGGACCAATTTTGAGATAAAATCGTCTGGAGGTTGTAGATACGTCACTGACTGTGAATACGAGTCGTAGCCTAAGCAGATCTAGGTTAGTTGTTAGGAATGTAAGACAGACGTGGCAGCTCTATGCAGAACTCTTTACTGAAAGAGTCACTGTAAAACTGATACATACAAACTTAGATATATGATAATGTCTGTTACAAGCTTCAGATAAAACATATGAAATGTCCTTTACAAGTATCAAATGTCTATGATGAATCTAAACAGCCAAAAATGTGAACGTAATTGCTGTTAGGGATGCTAGCAGAAATTAGTATTATAGTTGAGGTGTTTTGTTCCCCTGAATTTGTACACTTATGGCACAAACTGAAGGCCTGGCTGTGATAATCTCTGAAATATAATGCATATACAACACATATCTGTGATTTTTTAATCTTGGCCACCAGATTTGCTGGCTTGGTGGCCGAAGTGCCCAGTGCAAATTTTTATATCTGTCCACCCCTGATGTGGGTCTCTACATGTAAAATAAGAGCAGTGTTGGTAATGCAGTAGTTTAGGGTGTACATGTGTATCCCTGTGGATATGTCTGCCTGTGGCTCATATAGAGCAGCACATCAAAGGGACGCCCCCCCTTTTATATCCAAACCCACGGCTCTCCCCAATGCTATGCTAATTAGCGCAGGTCCTCCACTAACCGCTAGCACACTAATGCTTCCCAAATCCCTGTTTAAAAACTTACATCACATTTCTCACAGACGGCACTGAAGCAGCCGAGTGCTGGATGAAAGCCGAGAGAAGAGTGTACAGCCCTGATCCTCTCAATAAAGAGGAAGATCCAGCTCTGTTATTTCCTTCCAATTTTCTTTTCTAGAGCTTTGTTTTTATTATTAGTTTACATTCGGTGCATGAATCCAACCTTATTTTTGAGCTTGAGCCGAGCATGTGGGATACACTGTTATTAGCGGGGCTGTGTGATGAGGCTAACAAAGCATGTAATTTGCACAGGAGATGCACAAATTGGCAGCATAATAATGGAAAACTCTCGTAACGCGACTAGCCTTCAAATGCCCTCTGGTCTGACTCAGCTGCGGAATGAAAAGTTTTGCATTGCTAATCTGCTTGAATAACTCAGACGGTTTCTTAAATTGCACGGTTCCACTAGGTCGTGCGCAAGACAGTTGATCAGTCTATTCTGAAAGTGTTTAGTACATAATAAGTGGGTGTTGCATTGTGTTTTTAGAGTTTATGGCAAGATTAGTCCTGAAAATCCACATTGTGATGCAGAAATTTGAAATAAATGGAACTATAGGAACATTTGTAACTTTTTAAGAAAGAAAGTTGGGTTTTCAAGCAATTTACAGTTGGTAAAAGTGCTATGAAAATGATAGCTGATGTTGACTCACTGTCTAAAGGAATAGTTTGAAAAGAAAAATCAGAATTTGCATATTTTTCTAAATGTAGTCGATCAGCCATGTTTGGTATCTGAAGTTTGAGTAACTCTTTATGATAACCATCCCTAATAAACAACAACATAATCATTATTTAATCTAGAATAGCCAAAAAATTTAATGTGTGCCACCGTTAGCTTAGTGCTAACACACTATTAGAAATTTCATAAGGGTGCTAGCATAAATTAGCATTACTGTAGAGGTGGTCTGAACTAAAGGTCTAGCTCTAACAGTCACTGGATCACAGTTTGTGTCAGAAACTACATAAGCAAGTCTATTAAAGAAAATGAACAATTTGACATGGTAAGGCGAGTATGTGCTGAATTGGTGGTGGCAGTTTGCATTATGCTAATTTTTATATTCTTAGCATCTTTAGCCTCAAAGCTACAAAACAAAACAAAAAAGTCTTGGCTGACTGGCAACTTTTGGGGTTAAATTAGGGTAAATTAGGTTTTCTGCCAATCTGTTCCTTTAGCTAGCCTGTTATGTGAATGTTATAGGTGGTTTAAATAATGGGTTTGTTTCTGTGCCTGTAGGTTTGATCTCTTAGTGAATGGTGGAGCTTCGCTGACGCTGAGCTTTGTTCGCGCTCCATACCCAGCCGTCCATCGGACTGTGTGGTTGCCATGGAGAGTGTTTTATGTAATGGACAGATTGGTGATGAGGAGGGAAGAAAGAGACACGCCCATCTGTGAGCTCAATGGCCTTGTAAGACCTGCCCCCCAAATCACAACATCACCACTGTCTATCTACTATAGCTCCACCCCTGAGGCCAACCCTATCATACCTGAGACACAGGTAAGTGTCATACTTGGACAGTACACTTTATAAGAAACACCTACCTTGTACTTCCACTCACTGGCCACTTTATTAGAAACACCTACTTTGTGCTTCCACTCACTGGCCACTTTATTAGAAACACCTACCCTGTACTTCCACTTACTGGCCGCTTTATTAGAAACACTTACTTTGTGCTTCCACTCACTGGCCACTTTATTAAAAACACCTACTCTGTATGTCCACTGACTGGCCACTTTATTAGAAACACCTACTTTGTACTTCCACTAACTCTCCACTTTATTAGAAATGCCTACCTTGTGCTTCCACTCACTGGCCACTTTATTAGAAATGCCTACCCTGTACTTTTACTGACTGCCCACATTATTAGAAACGCCTACCCTGTATTTCCACTTACTGGCCACTTTATTAGAAACACCTACTTTGTGTTTCCACTCATTGGCCGCTTTGTTAGAAATACCTAGCTTGTGCTTCCTCATACTGGCCACTTTATTAGGAACACCTACTTTTAACTTCCACTAACTGTCCACTTTATTAGAAATGCTTACCTTGTGCTTCCACTCACTGGCCACTTTGTTAGAAATATCTAGCTTGTACCTCCACTTACTGACCACTTTATGAGCTCTATTCACTTTAATGGTTCACTATATAGATATAGCAATAGTTTGGAAAGGAAAATGAATCATTATTTGAACAAAATCTGCCCTTAATACTAAGGAAGATACTTTGCTGGACAAAAAGGGCCAGTTCAGTGGACAAAAAAAGCAATTTCATTGGTGTTTCACCCTAAAAAAATCCCATTTAGTCTAGACTTAGGCTCAATCTGGGTCTAAGAAACCAGCTCAAAGCTTAATGTACCCAAAGGATTAGCACATGCTGTGTCTTATGTCACAGAAAAGTAACACCAAAAATCAAATATTCGTTTTAAAATGTAAGAAAAAAAAGATAAGATGTCCTCAAACTTTTGATGAAGTGTACATGTGATGCCAGCTGTGCAGAAAAGGTAGTTATGCAGCAGTGTAGACTCTACTGATCTTATATCTGCTTCATCACGCCCACTGTTTCTCCTCCAGGTCCTTCATGAGCAGATTTCCATCCCTGGCAGTGACCTCAGTCTGGTCTACCTCAGCTCACGGGCGTCTGCCTATAAGCCTGTCCTCAAAGTGGTCATGACGGGGTCCAGTGTGCCCTTCGGCCTGGCCAGGGTGCACCTGATGGTGGCCGTGGAGGGCAGAATGTTCCAGAAGCAGTTTCCAGCTTCCCCAAGGCTTTCTTTCACATTCATCTGGGATAAAACTGATGCTTACGGCCAGAGGGTGTACGGCTTGGCTAAGGCTGAGGGTGAGTCTCAGAATTTTACTTTTTTTTTAAACTTTACTTGATCTCATTTAATTGTATTACTTGTTTGTAATGACTGACTGAGTAGTTCCTGAAAGGGAGTTTCACTGATTTCTCAAAATTCCTCCATAATTCTGTGTTTGAGATGTAAACAGAGCCATTCAGAGTGGTTTGGTGTGAAATGGTTGATTGCAGAAACTCAGATTACTTTACAGTGGTGGCGATAGGAACCAGGGGTCACCATGACTACAACACAAATATAGACATTCTATTTACTATCCAGGTTTTTATATGGAATGTTGATGATGGTAAAATAGTGGAAAATCTGAAAAAAAATGTTATCTTTGGGGTCTATTTTGGCTCACAATTTTGAAAAATGTACAATTTATAATAACAGGCTCCTGTAAATAGTAACTTAATCATAATCCAATTGATTGTTAATGATAGTTGATTATGAAATTGTTACTATTAAATCATTGATTATGTAATTGTTTTTGCATAAGTGCTACCATTTGAACTGTTAGTGTTATTAGTATTATATATTATATACAAACCAAACCACTGTAAATACTTAATAAATGTGTTATATTTAAGTGTATAAAGTAATACGGTATTCCTTAAGAAATACATTTTACAGTTGCAACTTTACAATAAGGATAATTAATGATTATACTACTACATACTGTATCATTTAAAACAGAACAGAAACAAATGCTAAGTACTAACTTACAATTGTTATGAATTGTCTTTTTGCATTTGTGAATGCTTAATAATCAATTTATATATTTTTTGAGTATTAAATAACTAAAATCATCATTGTAAATAGTAAATGGTTAATAATTTTAATGGACCCATTTATTAATGCATAAACACTGGTCAACCATAACATTACAACCACTTCCTTGTTTCTACGCTGTCCTTTTAATCAGCTATACTGACCATATAGGAGCACTTTGTAGTTCTACAGTTACAGACTGTAGTCCATCTGTTTCTCTGCATACTTTGTTACCCTGTTCTTCAGTGGTCAGGACCCCCATGGACCTTCACAGAGCAGGTACTATATGGGTGGTGGTTCATTCTCAGCACTGCAGTAACACTGTGGTGGTGTGTTAGTGTGTGTTGCACTGGTGCGAGTGGATGAGACACAACAGTCCTGCTGGAGTGTTTAAACACCTCAGTGTCACTGCTGGACTGAAAACCAAAAACATCCAGCCAACAGCATCCTGTGGGCAGTGACCACTGATGAAGGACTAGAGGATGACAAGCACAAACTGTGCAGCAGCAGAAGAGCTACCGTCTCTGACTTTACATCTACAAGGTGGAGCAACAAGGTCGAAGTGTCTAATAGAGTGGACAGTGAGTGGACACTGCAATGTCTGATCAACTCATACGAGCACAAAACACACTAACACATCACCACCATGTCAGTGTCACTGCAGTGCTGAGAATGACCCACTACCCAAATAATACCTGCTCTGTGGGGGTCCTGTGGGGGTACTGACCATTGAAGAACAGGGTAACAAAGTATGCAGAGAAACAGCTGGACTATAGTCTGTAACTGTAGAACTACAAAGTGCACCTATGAAGGCTTTTAATGTTATGGCTGATCGATGTATAAATATTATATAATTACAAGCGGTCATTAATGAACTAAAAGATACTGATTATGTTTATTATGGCCTGTTATTATAAAGTGTAATTGATTTAAGGTTAAAAATGTGAGGATGTTGCGGGAAATAGAAAATATAATTCAGGTCTTGTTTGATGCAAACAGATAGTGTAGGTGTTTATTGTGTGTGTGTGAGCTCCACCTGGCCTCTGGTGCGTGAGCTGACACTAAGCATTGTTAAAGCAATAAATAAAAGCTCTAAAGGCCACCTGTTTGTTGCTGACTGTTTGCCTGTGTAATTAGTCTGCAAATGAAGCGGCACGAGAAGCAGAAGGGCTACAGAAGGTCGCAGGCTTGTCATTGATAATATCTCTGTGGGAAAATCGAGGAGCCTGCTGAGGAGCATCTCTAGCGCTTAGCCTCTGGCTAATGTGACATTCACACTGAACCGGTCAGGCAGGAGAAGAAGCAACGTCTTACATACCAATGTAGTGGTCAGTAAAAGTGCAGGAGATGTTTATCAATTTTCAATAGTTTAGGTTTGGCTGGGGGCGGAGCTCCGTGGGCAATGAACCCAGTGGAAATCGAGAGTGAGTTATTCATTCAACCTAATGAGAAACTGTAGAACAGACTCAGTTTATATTACAATACCTACATTTAGAGTCAGTTATTCATTCAACCTAATGAGAAACTGTAGAACAGACTCAGTTTATATTACAATACCTACATTTAGAGTCAGTTATTCATTCAACCTAATGAGAAACTGTAGAACAGACTCAGTTTATATCGCAATACCTACATTTAGAGCCAGTTATTCGTTCAACCTAATGAGAAACTGTAGAAGATGATTGTTTATTTTACAATATCTAGATTGTGTGTAGTTTTTTGTCATGGAATTAAACTAATTTGTTGTGGAGATCCATTTAACCAGGCAAAGAACCGTTCATGTGTTAAAATGGTTCTTTGCGCATTCATGGTTTTGTATATAACCACTTTTTAAAGGCTGTCTTATGTTACTTAGCAACCCCAAACTCTTAAATTCATTTGATTGGATTTTTATTCTCTGTAAAGCTTTTACAGCCTCTCAGCAGCAGCTGCGAGAGCATGCATTTGTGGACGGAGCATAGGTCAATCTCCAGAAATTTGAGACCATGTTTGTTTGGGAATTGGTGAAGAAATACAGCAAAGCAAATAATGTACGAGAAATGTCTTGTTTTGCTAATAGCAGATGGCTGTGACAGATTGCTGGTGTGGTTGTCTTGTTTCTGGGCAGTGTCTGTGGGTTTCGAGTACGAGTCGTGTATGAGCGTGGTGCTGTGGGAGAAGAGGAGCTCCAGCCTGCAGGGATACGAGCTGGAGGCGTCCAGCATGGGCGGCTGGACACTGGACAAACATCACGTCCTCGACCTGCAGAACGGTGAGAGAATCGCTTATTATTTGCTGAAAGGTCGTGCACGTGCTGGTCTGGGGTCAGCTAGCTGAGCGTCACTCATAAATATTCAATCTAACATGAATTATGGATCACTGCCCCATTCATATTGCTTTATGTTGCTTCAAGCTTTGGTTCTGTAGCTGTCACTCATTGTAGCTGAAGTTGAGATGATGCAGTATTTTACATCAACACAGTTTTGTGTTTCAGACAAATTACTTTCAGCAGTAATTTTGTTGACATTATATTTTATATGCATGGAAATTATCTTCTTATTTGAAAAAATAACAGAATGCATGCACTTTTTCAGTTTTTAACTCTTAAAAGTTCAGTATATATATATATATATATATATATATATATATATAACTGAACTTGTGTGTATATATATATATATATATATATATATATATATATATATATATATATATATATATACACAAACTTCTTTGTCTAAGGCAGTGATGTGAGTGGTTGCAATCAGATCCTAAATGCTATTATTTACCAAAATAACATGTTGAGAGTGAGACAGAGAGAGAGAAAGAGAGAGAGAGGATTAGACTAGGTGTATTGTCTGTAGCTGCTCTTTGTGAGCAGGATTGGGGTGTGTGTGTGTGTGTGACGCTTTACCTTCTCCAACTCGCTGCTTTACACACATTTTAAGCCTCTTTTAGCTTCTGGCACGGTGCCAGCTGGCCTGGCGATCTCCGCACCCTTTAATCTGCCGACCTGTTCGAAAAAGACGCTCATGCTTTCCCGCTTAGCTGTCTCTCTCAGCTTTAGCTGCTTTATCCTCTCTAAGAGCCGATCCTCTCGTTTTACACCTGTGGAGCTGCAGTGGATTCATCTACACGATAAACATTATTCCACTCTGCACTCACACTGACACTTCAGCTATTAGACCACTCCACGCTGGACACTCACTCAGTTCTGCGCATCGTGTCTTGGCTTACTGATGAAGGATGAAGAGCGTCTTCAAATATGTTTAATATTGTTTTATAATATTCACAGTAATTTTGAAGGGTTTTGTTCATTATTGTCAAGTCAAGTCAGGTTTTATTGTCATTCCAGCTATATTCAAGTACACAGTGAAATGAAACAACATTCCTCCAGGACCAACACAGAAACACAAGTGCGAGACAATACAATATACACAGTGCAGACAATACAGCACAATAAATAAATACGAAAGACTTACAATAAATACAAAACAGAGCACAGGCAGTACACGGAGCTGAGAGTATGTGGAGTTATGCAAAGGAGGATGTAACATATTATGACATATTAGCAGCTTAGCAGCCTAGCATATATGAGCATAGCAGTCACTGAGGTAGCAACCAGAGCAGCAATATACAGTATGTGGTTGATACAGTAATTCTAGCAGCTAACATTGTTAAAGTGAAGTAAAATGTGCAAAAATGCAAGTGTTCAGATCTACAGTCATATCAAGTGAAGTGTTTCAGTGGATTGCGGTAACCTGTCTTTCAGGAATTTTCTCTTTTTTGTAATGGTGTACGTTGTAAGTGGCAAGACATATCAGTGCAAGATTATGACTAATACCACCTTTACTGGAGAAATAAAAATATATTTTGCGTTTTACATCAGCTGTAATTCATTGCAAGTACTTTTTAATATTAAGAATTTTTAACAATATAGAAACAGCACTCTGGAATTTTTTCATTTTTTTCCTGTTATTATGCTTTTATTGTTTGGGTACAAACATTAACATTGGGGTGATTTCATAAGTGTTCAAAGACACTTTGGACGGGAATCTGAAGTTCACCAGCCGCCTTCTGAAAGAACACTGAGGAAAATGGCTTAGAATGGTCTGTTTAAAATAAACGCCTCTACACTGTAAAAATGCTTCAGTGTTTTTATTTAAAGGGGAACTCCACTGATTTTTCAAAATTTCTGCATAATTAAATTGCTAACGTGTCAACAAAATCATTCAGAGTGGTTTGGCATAAAGGGCTTCAATCCAGAGAAACTTACTGAGTCAAATTTGTTCATAGTGGTGATGATAGGAACCAGACGTCCGAAGAACTGCCTCTAAAAGCCCCCCTTACAGAAAGTTATTACATGAAATGATTATGAATACATTGCCAGATGCCCGAGACTTTGTTTAACAGTAGTTTTATGTTAAAAGTTTTGGTGCAAAAAGGTATTTTAATCAGTTTATTTTTATCAAGTTATGGTGGAATGATACAAGAAAGGTGTTATAAGGCAAAATAGACCCCAAAAAAATGTATTAAACTGCATTTTGTTTCTAAATGCTATGAACTTATTACATAACACAAATGTCCAAATACTTTGTGGGGCACCTGTGTGCTTCCATAACCCTGTGGTTTTCCCCCTTATTATCTATTGATGGATGTTGTCTATTGATGCAGATTGTTGTGACAGTGAGTGTAGACTTCCTGTCTTCCCTAAATTCGTTCCTCAGAAGTGCAGAGGCTGCTGATTAAACATTGAATGCGTTTGGATTGTTTATGTGAACTAAATCTGTCAGATCAGGAAGGTTTGGAGAATCCCGGAAAACTTCACACTCTGAAAGCAGCGAGACGGCTGTCAGGCGGCCGTGTGCTGCCTCAGGGATGTTCCTGCAACACGTACACGCTGGGCTGAGAGGTTTTCCAGTGTAAAAAAGAAAACTGGTGTGTCCAACACTGAAAAACAGACTTTGAGTTTACATAATTTACATGTCAGTTGTTGCATGTGAATAAAACACATTTTCTTTTTTGATAATCACATTGAAATTGCACAAATTAAAAACATTTATTTTCATATTCATAAATCTCTTATTTTGAAATAAAAAATTACACTGATGACATCACTTGACTTCCTTTTACCGATTTTCTGACGATCTATGAAGAAAAGCACAGGATAAGTCCACTGTGTCTTTTCAGTTATCAGAATTTTTCTCATTTAGCCCATAATTTCCTATGAAGCTTTTAGTTGAAGTCACTGGTATGACCTCCTTTATTCTTAGGTAATTGTGAAAAAATAGAATACAAATGGATTAAATTACATATTTTAGTGGATATTCCATGATTGACAACATGTGGTTTGATGCTCTGTAGCAGCCATTATGTAAAATGCATTTTTCATTAAAAATGTGGCTGGTGTTACCGTCTCTGATGTTACCTTTCCTACGCGTAACACCAATGACGATCAGTAACACCAGTGACTCCTATGGATAGATAAAAAAAGTGGACATTTCTGTAGAATGACCCATGCTAGTTCAGTGGAGCTAGCTAGTAGCAAACGCTACTTATGCTAGCTACTTGCTTTGGATCTTGACAATGACACAAAGTAAATTAAAGTTGTTAGCTCGGTATGAAGCTTTCAGTTTAAGATGATCTGCTTCAACCATCAAAAAGTGGATAAAATCACACATCATGGCTATTTACAGGCTGCTGTTAGGGTTGTGATGCTAATAAAACTGGAACTGCCCCTCCGTCTCTTCAGTGTCACATGCTGAGCGAAGCTGCTCGATGTTGTCCAAGGTTTGACAAACTGTCTGGTATGAAATTTGCAGAGCAAACTAACATCTTTGAACCAATGCTGTCTGGCTTCCTATTCACCAGCTTGTTTTGATAGTTTTCCATTCCACCTTAAATGGTGCCTTAGTTAAATTCTGGCACGTGTACAAGCTGTAGCATTTAAGATGGAACGGAACATTAAGTTAAGAATCTGGCGCTGACATTTCAGTTCCTTGTCGACATCCCCTCACAGCCTGCAGCGGTACATTTCTGCACGTAGCCTCCATTTTCATTGCTGTTGCTCCATTGATGTTCGTTCTTCACAATACCTGCTGGGCTAGAACGTGGGCTGGTGTATTGGTGTAATTTTGGAGGCGTAAATATAAATGAGTCAAGACCGTTATGCAACAGTTTAGGATTTTGGAATTGTGTTTGTAGGAGGAGACAACAGTGTTAGAGGTTCACGGTGTGTCAGTTCCATGTACTGAACCCTCCTTATTCAACTATGCCAATGTAAATGCAGTCCATTCTTTGACACCTTTAAAATCACCTCTGATGTGAACAAATGAGTTGCCCTAATTTACTTGCCTAAATAAACAAATGGCAAAATGAAATTCAGTTTGAGTGTCTTTAGGCTGGGTGTATGTAAACTTTCTGCCTCAACTCTTATCATCAGGGAAAATGCAGATTGCAGAGTTCTGTAATACTCACATGTGGTACTTTGTAACTGAATTTGGATCACAATTAGTTGATCATCATGACCAAATCTACCTGAGTGACCGCTCAGGGGTACCAGAAGAATGTTCCAAAAAAGTACATAGTTTTAAATTGATTTAATCTGTTAACACTTTTTAAAACTGTTTACTTTAAATCTGTTCACACAACACAACAGTCAGCCTGATAATCCAGCCATCAATACTCAAAAAGCACCATCATTGTGTAAATTTGGCAGATATATGGGCAAAGCATAGACAGGCATCTTTGGTTGGCATTTTATAGTGATATCTGTCTGATCTTGATGAGGTCTTAGCTGAGAAGTTTACTGTGGTTAGATATTTTGTGAAGAATCTATAGAAAGTGTCTTCAGCAAAACCAAGACCTTTCAGCAAACCGCTTGACAGACAAGAATCATTCATCTAAATTGTTGTTAAAATAGTCCAAGCTTACTGCTGATATACTGTAAACTCATATTATATACTCAACAAAAACTGTACTATAGAGTTTAAACATTTTTCAAGTTTACATGTTTACATTACTGGCACAGATTATCACTGATAATTATTATTATAATCATTATTATCATTATTATTATTATTGATGCTGTTATGCTCTAATTTCATTTAATTCAGTAAATATAGTTCAGAAGTGCGTGATTGAGTAAGCATCTCTGTAATGGTAATCCACTTAAGTCTCAACTTTAAGAGGGTTAACTTAAAGAAGAACGGCTCTTTAAACAGCTTTGAAACACAAATCTGTCTCTGGGCAGTTAATCGGAGTTATTTAAAT